CCGCGTGCCAGGCCCGTCCCCGAGGGGTGCTGCGGGGCCTGTGGGCCTGTGGGGACGGGGGGGGAGGGGGAGGGAGGGCTGCCGGAGGAGGTGACATCTAAGGCCTTGGGAAGAGCGGGGCCGGAGGAGGCGTTGAGGTGGGAGAAAGGGTGTGAACGGCCAGGCAGGACAGCAGGGCGGGGGACGCAGCGGCGGGGTTTGGATTTGGGGGGCGGTGGAAGGGATGGGGCTGGAGTCCACTTATGAAGGCTGTTTACAAGAAGCTGCTCTCTGAGTCACTCCCCCCTCCCCCCATCCCCCTCCCCAATTCCGTGGGACTGACAGTCCTGGCCTTCCCAGCACTCCAGAGCCCGCCAGGCTGGGGTGTGTGCCCCGGGCTTGCCCGTCAGGCCTCGCTCCCCACGGCCATCACCATGCTGACTGCGGGAGCCCATGGGGAGAGCGGGCTTCAGCTGCATGTGGTCCTGTTTGCTGCCCACCCAGCAGCCCCGGCCCATTGGCTCACATCTCCCAGAGGCTCTGCCACCGGGGCCGCAGTTACTTCTCCAGGCCAGCGGGTGGGGCAGCTGGGACCTCAACCCAGGCTCTCCAGCCGCACTGCCTGCGCTCGGCACAGCTCTGAGGCGGGGCCTCCCCCGCCCCCCGGGTGCGGGGGTTCTGGAGCCAGGGCTGAGGAATGGGATGGCGTGGGCCTCGGGTCACCTCTAACCTTTAACCCCAGGAGGCCTACCCTCTCCCTGAGCCATGCCCTCCTCTTTGGCAGGGCCTCTCTGAGCGCCCAACCAACACCTCACCCCTAAAATTGGTCCCTGATCGTCCTACTTGGTTCAGTGGACACTCTTATGGCCCCTCTTCCAGATTGGGGCCGGCCCCGACCCCAGCTGTGGCTATTGAGCTCCTTCCTGGGAGCACGGGGGGCACGTTGAGTTGTGCTGGGAAGCCCAGTGTCCTTGGCTGGACCTTAACCTGTGGACTCTGACCCCAAAGGCAGTCCTGTTCGGCCGCTGGGGAGCAGGTGCCGCGGGCAGAGCAGGAGGACGAGGGGGCCGTCCCCAGGGCCTTGCTCTCCCCGCCCTGGCACCTGCCCTCAGGGCCCGAGACACCCCTGGCATTTATAGAGCAGTTCCTATTTTTGGCTTAAGTTCCTCACGTTGGTCTCTTTCTTGAAACCAAAAAGCATCAGGCACATGGTAAGAGCTCCAAACTGGGGACCATACAGTTCTTCGTCTTCAACTTTTGAGAGTGAAACGGGGCAATGATGAAAATCACATGGGACTAACGCGGGAAACCCAGCGAACAGGCCACGCCGCCTCCCGCCGTGCTCGGGGAGAGCCGCACACCGACCACTCAGCGCATCTTGTTTGCACAGGGTCCGGGCACCTGGGCCGGGCGCCTGCAGATGGCAGGGGGAGAGGCCGGGGCCAGGCGGGCGGTGTGGGCCGGAGGCTGTGCAAGCTCAGGGTCGCCGTGCTCTCCTTCCGTTCTTCGTGATGGATCACAGGAGAAAGGCCATTCTCTGAAATATGGACTCCCCAAGGCCAACGGGCCCGCTGCCCTCTCAAGAATGTGCCACCCTGTGGGCGGGCGGGTGGCCCCGAGCGGCGGGCAGCAAGATGAATGGGGCCGGGCGCTATAAGAGCGGCCAGGCTCGCCGGGCCCGCAGCCATGCTGCTCCTCACGCTGCTGCTGCTGAGCGCGCTGGCCGGCGCCCGCCTGCTCTGGGGCCGGTGGCGGCGCCAGAGCCTCCACCTCCCGCCTCTCGCCCCCGGCTTCCTGCACCTGCTGCAGCCCAACCTCCCCGCCCACCTGCTGGCCCTGGCTCAGACCCTCGGGCCTGTGTACAGGCTCCGCCTCGGGCTGCAAGGTGAGCGCCCCTCCCGCCGGCCTGCCCCCGGGGGCGGGGGGGAGGGGCTGGGACTCCCTGCTACCGCCCCCTGCGCTCCCCAGACGTGGTGGTGCTGAACTCCAAGAAGACCATCGAGGAGGCCATGGTCAAGAAGTGGGTGGACTTTGCCGGCAGACCCCAGATACCATCCTGTAAGGGGGCGGAGCGGGCTGGGCCGGCGGGGAAGGCGGCGAGCTTCCTGGCCCCCCTGACCCCTCCCCGGCTCGGCTCCAGACGCACTGGTGTCCCGGCACAACCAGGACCTCTCCCTGGGGGACTACTCCCCGCTCTGGAAGGCGCACAAGAAGCTCACGCGCTCCGCCCTGCTGCTGGGCATGCGCGGCTCCCTGGAGCCCCTGGTGGAGCAGCTGACCCAGGGGTTCTGTGAGGTAGGCCGCCCCTCCCACTGCCCCTATCCCCCCCCCCCCCCCCAGCCGCCCTGCAGCCCGCTGCCTCCACAGCGCCTGTGGGCCCGGGCCGGCGCCCCGGTGGCCATCCAGGAGGAGTTCTCTCTCCTCACCTGCAGCATCATCTGCCACCTCACCTTCGGAGACCAGGTAAGGCCTCAGCGCCCCCGCCCGCCCAGCCCCCGCCCTCCGCCCTCACCTGGCTGCACCCCCCCCCCCCCCAGGAGGACGCCGTGGTGCGTGCCTTCCACGGCTGCGTCCAGGACCTGATGAAGACCTGGGACCACTGGTCCATCCACATTTTGGACATCGTTCCCTTCCTCAGGGTGAGGCGGGGGCCGGGGCGGGGCGGGCCGGCCGGGGCGGGCGGGCCAGGCGCCCCTCCCGCAGCCACTCTCGCTCCCTGCCAGTTCTTCCCCAGCCCCGGGCTCCGGCGGCTGCAGCAGGCGGTGGCGAACCGGGACCGCATTGTGGAGGGGCAGCTGAGGCGGCACAAGGTGGGCGCGGGGGGCCGCCCGAGCCGCGCGGGGGCTGCCGGAGCAGGCGGCTCTCTCGCGGCCGGCGCTCAGGGCCCCTCCCCCCAGGAGAGCATGGTGGCCGGCCGCTGGCGCGACGCCACGGACTACATGCTGCAGGGGGTGGGCCAGGCGCCGGCCGGCCGGGGCTCCGGGCAGCTCCTCGAGGGGCACGTGCACATGTCCGTGGTGGACCTCTTCATCGGCGGCACCGAGACCACCTCCACCACCCTCTCCTGGGCCGTGGCCTTTCTGCTCCACCACCCTGAGGTGCGCCCTCCGCCGGGGCTGTGGCGGGGGGGCTGTGGCCGGGAGGGCTGTGGCGGGGGGGGGGGGCTGTGGCCGGGAGGGCTGTGGCCGGGGGGGGGGGCTGTGGCCGGGGGGGGGGCTGTGGCGGGGGGGGGGCTGTGGCGGGGGGCTGTGGCCGGGGGGGGGGCTGTGGTGCGGGGCTGTGGCCAGGGGCTGTGGCCGGGGCTGTGGCCGGGGCTGTGGAGGAGCGGGCTGTGGCCGGGGCTGTGGCCGGGGCTGTGGTGCGGGGCTGTGGCCAGGGGCTGTGGCCGGGGCTGTGGCCGGGGCTGTGGTGGAGCGGGCTGTGGCGGGGCTGTGGCCGGGGCTGTGGTGGGGGCTGTGGCCAGGGGCTGTGGCGGGGCAGGCTGTGGCCAGGGGCTGTGGTGGGGGCTGTGGCCGGGGCTGTGGCCGGGGCTGTGGTGGAGCGGGCTGTGGCGGGGCTGTGGCTGGGGCTGTGGTGGGGGCTGTGGCCAGGGGCTGTGGCGGGGCAGGCTGTGGCCGGGGCTGTGGTGGGGGCTGTGGCCAGGGGCTGTGGTGGGGGCTGTGGCCGGGGCTGTGGTGCGGGGCTGTGGCGGGGCGGGCTGTGGCCGGGGCTGTGGTGGGGGCTGTGGCCAGGGGCTGTGGTGGGGGCTGTGGCCGGGGCTGTGGTGCGGGGCTGTGGCGGGGCGGGCTGTGGCCGGGGCTGTGGTGGGGGCTGTGGCCAGGGGCTGTGGTGGGGGCTGTGGAGGGGCGGGCTGTGGCCAGGGGCTGTGGCTGGGCAGGCTGTGGCCAGGGGCTGTGGCCGGGGCTGTGGCCGGGGCTGTGGTGGGGGCTGTGGCCAGGGGCTGTGGTGGGGGCTGTGGAGGGGCGGGCTGTGGCCGGGGCTGTGGCCAGGGGCTGTGGCGGGGCGGGCTGTGGCCGGGGCTGTGGTGGGGGCTGTGGAGGGGGGGGCTGTGGCTGGGCGGGCCGCATCCTGACGGCAGAGGCGCCTGCGGGGCCGGGGCAGTGGGTCCGCACTAGGCTTGCCCCATTCCCAGGTCCAGAGGCGGCTGCAGGAGGAGCTGGACCGCGAGTTGGGCCCCGGGGCCTGGCGCTCCCCGGTCCCCTACAAGGACCGCGCGCGGCTGCCCCTGCTCAACGCCACCATCGCCGAGGTGCTGCGCCTGCGGCCGGTCGTGCCCCTGGCCCTGCCGCACCGCACCACGCGGCCCAGCAGGTGGCTCCCGGGAAGGGGCGAGTGGGCGGCGGGCGGGTCCTGGCGGGCCTCTGACCCCCTCCCCTGCCCGCAGCATCTCCGGCTACGACATCCCCGAGGGCACGGTGGTCATCCCCAACCTCCAAGGCGCCCACCTGGACGAGACGGTCTGGGAGCGGCCGCACGAGTTCTGGCCCGGTGCGTGCGGGCGGGGCCCGGGGTGGGGGTGCGGCGGTGCCGCTGCTGACCCCCCTGCTGACCGGCCTGTCCGCCCTCCCCGCCCCCCGCCCGCAGACCGCTTCCTGGGCCCGGGCGGGAGCCCCGGCGCGCTGGCCTTCGGCTGCGGGGCGCGGGTGTGCCTGGGCGAGCCGCTGGCGCGCCTGGAGCTGTTCGTGGTGCTGCGGCGCCTGCTGCAGGCCTTCACGCTGCGGCCGCCCGGGGGCGCCCTGCCCTCCCTGCAGCCCCAGCCGCCGGGCGGCGTCAACCTCACGGTGCAGCCTTTCCAGGTGCGGCTGCAGCCCCGGGGGGCGGGCGCCCAGGGCCCGGGCCAGTGACGGGCGGGAAGCGGACAAGCTGTGCCTCAGTTTCTCCTTTTATTGCTCTGTACACCCCACCCCCTGTAAACAAAGTGCTGTGAGACGGGGGGAGGGAGCCTCCTCGCGGGCGGCGGCGGCCCCGGCTCTCCTCGCGGCCCCTCAGTGCGCGGCGGGCGCCCGGTGCGGGAGGGCTGCTCAGCCTCCCCCGGCCGGCGCCCGGTAGCCTCGGGGTCGCAGCTTCATCTCCGTGAAGGGCACCGAGAACTCGAAGCCCTTCCAGTGGTACCAGCTCACGCCCTGGGGAGAGGCGGGGTCAGAGACGCCGCCCGCCCGGCCCCGGCCCGGTTCCCCAAACCACCCACCGCCTCCCCGCGCCTCCCGCCCAATAAACCACGTCCTCCCGAGCCGCCAGAGCGCTGTTCCCTCCCGGACGAGGGGGCCGGGGTGGGGCGGGAGGGGCTGAGGGGTTGGGGGCCCGCGGTAATTCCTCGCCCAGGGTGTGCGGTCGGCCAGGCAGGCGCACCTGGTGGTCCACGGTGCTCCCGTAGAGCCCGTTGAGGTTGGCGTAGTGGCAGTTCCTGTACCACCAGGCCCCGCGGTAGGAGACGGCGCAGGAGATGAGCAAGTTGTTGGGGTCTCGGTCTCGGGCAGAGAAGACACTGCCACTGTGGTAGCTCATGGAGTCCCCTGCGGGGGGCAGGGTGCCAGTGAGGGCCTCCCCACCGCCCGCCCAGGCCGCGCCCTCACCGCCCAGGCCCCGCCCTCACCGCCCCGCCCAGGCCCGCCCTCACCTCCCAGGCCCCGCCCTCACCGCCCAGGCCCCGCCCTCACATCTCAGGCCCCGCCCCCACCGCCCTCACCTTCCAGGCCCCGCCCTCACCGCCCCGCCCAGGCCGCGCCCTCACCTTCCAGGCCCCGCCCCCACCGCCCGCCCCGCCCAGGCCCCGCCTCACATTCCAGGCCCCGCCCTCACCGCCCTCACCTTCCAGGCCCCGCCCTCACCGCCCCGCCCAGGCCCCGCCCTCACCGCCCAGGCCCCGCCCTCACCGCCCAGGCCCCGCCCCCACCGCCCTCACCTTCCAGGCCCCGCCCTCACCGCCCCGCCCAGGCCGCGCCCTCACCGCCCCGCCCAGGCCGCGCCCTCACCTTCCAGGCCCCGCCCCCACCGCCCGCCCCGCCCAGGCCCCGCCCTCACCTTCCAGGCCCCGCCCTCACCGCCCCGCCCAGGCCCCGCCCTCACCGCCCCGCCCAGGCCGCGCCCTCACCTTCCAGGCCCCGCCCTCACCGTCCGCCCCGCCCAGGCCCCGCCCTCGTCGCCCCGCCCAGGCCCCACCCTCACCGCCCCGTCCAGGCCCCGCCCTCACAGCCCCGCCCAGGCCCGCCCTCACCTCCCAGGCCGCGCCCTCACCGCCCAGGCCCCGCCCTCACCTCACAGGCCCCGCCCTCACTGCCCCGCCCAGGCCCCGCCCTCACCCGCGGTGCCGCGGTAGCCCTCCAGGTGCAGGCGGTAGTAGTCAGCAGCCGAGTCCACCCGGAAGGAGTCGTACTGGGCGAAGGCCACCTCGGCCCCGGCCCGCAGGTCCACACGCATGGAGTAGTCCCCGGCGCTCGTCAGGCTGTGCAGGGCCTCGTTGCCTGCGGGGGACCCTGCTCTCACCGGGCTCCGCTGTGCACGGGCCCCTTCCCCGTCCCCCACCCTGAGTGGCACTGACCCAGCCAGAACTCCCCGGAGAGGTTCCCGAAACCGTGGGCGTAGTCCTCCCAGTCCCGCCAGAAGTCCGTGCGTCCGTCCACGCGGCGTTGGAACACCTGGGAAGCGGGGGGGGGGGGGGGGGGGGGGCACCGTCAGCCTGTGGGCCCTGCACATCCCGCCGGCCCATGCCGGCCCATGCCCGCCCCGTGCCCACCCCGCCGGCCCGCCCCCCCTGCACCCACCAGCCAGCCGCCCCCGTCCGTCTCCATGTCACAGAACACATCCAGCGGCCGCGCCCGGTCCCCGTTGAGGAAGATGGTGGTGATCCTGGAGTTGCCCGCCCCGTTCTGCATCTCCTCCCCACAGTCCCGGGGGAAGGGGACCTGCAGTCCACCTGGGGAGGCAGAGAGGGTCAGTCCTCCTTCCAAACCGCAGACCCCTGCTGCCCATGCAGCCCCGGCCCGGCCCGCCCAGGCACCGGTGGTGAAGGCGGTGGACACGGGCGGCGAGAGGCCCTCGCCCCACACGGCGCGGAGCCGGGCTCTGTAGGAGGTGGCGGGGAAGAGGCCCCGGAGCTGGTGAGAGGTGGCGCTTCCCGGGAGCAGGATCTCCTGTGGGCAGAGAAGGGCTGGTCGGGGACACGAGGCGGAGCCCGCTGGGGAGGCAGCGGCAGAGGCAGCCCCGGAATGGAACAGGGAGAGCCGTGGCCAGGGGCGGGAGGGAGGGGCACCTGGGTCGGGCTGTCAGGGGCGTCGTAGGAGAGCACGTAGCCGGTGGGCAGGACTTGGGGCTCAGTCCACGTAAGCAGGGCTGTGCGGGGCGTCACTTCTTTGGCCTCCAAATCCTGGGGGCCTTCCAGCCCTGGTGGGGAGTGGGGGAGAGAAGATGGAGAGGAGCCCTTTGCACCTGCCCCGCCTCCCTCCCGGGCGGTACCTGTGGTGAAGGTGATGCTGGCTGCAGAGGTGAGGTTGGGGCCCCGCAGGCCATGCACGGTGGCCGTGTAGTTGGTGTGGAGCTCCAGGCCCTGCAGGGGGTAGTCCACAGCGCTGCCCGGGGCCGAGGCCTGCAGAGGGGGGGCTGGCCATGGTAGGGGGCGTCAGAGGCTGCCCTCGGCTCTGCCACAGCCCAGGCCGCCTCTGCACTCCCTCCCGCCCTCGTCCCCTTGCGCTCACCACCCGGGGCTGTGACCCTGACAGCATAGGTGTCCACCGGAGCCTGGGGCGGCTTCCAGTGCAGCTGGGCCGTTCCTTCCGTCAAGTTCAGCGCACGCAGCTGGGTGGGGCCGTCTGGAACTGGGGGGCGGGAGGCTCAGAGCGGACCTTCCTTCCCAAACCCTGCAGGGCCTCTGTCCCACGACTGGGCCCTCTGACACCCTCCCCTCTCTGAACCCTCAACCAACGCTGCCGTGGCCTCCCGCCCGCCCTGGCCTCCCGCCCGCCCTCTCACCCGTGGTGAGGAAGCCGGTGAGCGGCTCGCTCTCCTCGAAGCCTCGCACAGACACCACGGTCACCTCGTAGTGAGCACCTGGGACCAGCCCCTCGAGCTGCTGGGTCCGGGCTGCGCCGCTCACCTGCACGCTCCGGGGCTCCCCTGAAAACACAGCGGGCTAGGAGCCAGGGAAGCGGGGGGCGGGGGGCGGGCGTGGGGGACACGAGACCAGCGAGGACACGGGCAAAGGGGGTCACCTCCGTCCACCAGCTGGTAGGACACTTTGAAGCTGTCGGCTCTGGACAGTGGGGGTGTCCAGCTGACCTTGACCGAGGTCTCCCCAATTTCGCTGAACTGTAGGTCCCGGGGGCTCTCCAGAACTGAGGGAGAGGGGTGCGGAGTAACGGGGTGAGCCATGGGGGGCTCCCGTCCAGATGCCCCTCCCGCCCCGGCCCGCTGACGCCCAGCACGGCCGCTCACCTGGGCTGAGGGTGCGGGCGGTGCCCTGCACGCTGTCGGCCTGGTGGGGCCCGCGCAGCCCGTACAGCGTGAGGCTGTACAGCGTCCCGGGCCGCAGGTCCCGGAGCACGGCCGAGAGCCGGGAGCCGGGCACCGTCACCTCCCGCTGCAGCAGGGGCCGCGGGTGCGGCTCCAGGGTGCTGGCCGCCGGGACCCCGTAGCGAAGCAGGAAGGAGTCGAAGGCCCCGGGGGGCGCCTCCCAGCTGAGCCGCATGGAGCTGGTGGTCACGTCGGTGACGGACAGCTGGGACAGCCGCGGCCCTGGCTCCCCCGGCGTCCGCCCGGCAGGCGCCGACCCTGCCCGGAGCGGTGGGAGGAGGGGTGAGGCAGAAGCGTGCCCGCTGGGAGACTTGGGGCAGGTCCCGCTGCACCGCCACCCCCGCCCGGGCCCTCCTGTGAGGGTGGCGCCGCGGAGGGGCTGGGTCCCCAGCTCGTGCAGAGCCAGGGCTGCTGGCCCGGCGCTTCCTCCCCACGGCCCCTTGTGTTCTTCCCCTGCTTCCCCTGGGCCCCCGCCCCCCCACGGGCCCGCCTGGCGCTACCTGTGGTGCCCTCCGCGGAGACGGGCCCCAGGCGCCTCCCGTGGTGGAGGCCGTAGAGGAAGAACTTGTAGGGGGTGCTGGGCTCCAGGCCTGACACGCGCACCTCGTCCTGGTCCCCACCCACGAGCAAGGCCTGGGGCTGCCTGTCCGCGTCCCAGTACTGCACCACGAAGGAGTCGAAGGGCCCCCGGGCCCCCGTCCACGCGAGGCGCAGGGAGTCGGGGGCGCTGTCGGTCACGGCCAGCTCCCCCAGGCGGGGCCCTCCAGGGGTCTCAGGGGCCTCTGTGTCCTCTTCCGGGGCTGGGGAAGAAGCCCAGGAGAGAAGCTATGTGTTTATGAGCATGTGTGTGTGCGCACAGCAGGCCCTCCCGACTCCATTGTGTCGGCTCCTGAGTGGCCCAGGCCTGAGGCTGACCTGGCGTGGAAGCCAGCCGGGGGAAGGAAAAACAGGCCCTTCCAGCAGCTTTCTTCTCTGGAATCTGCCACAGCCCTGCTCTGGCCCAGAGCCTGCACCGGTCTCCCCACCCACACTGTGCTGAGGGCCCGGGACCGAGGTGGCTGGGAAGAAGGGGCAAGCCTGGGGCTGCCGCTGCTCCGGGGGCGATGGGGAGAGGGGCGTCTTAGAGCTGCCTGCACCTCAGCCTGGATCTTCCGGGGGCGTGAGGGTCTGGGAAGGGTCCCGGCAGTGGGACCCGAGGGGACAGGCTACGCTGCGGGAAGCAGCCCAGACTCCGGCCCGCTGTGAGCGGCGCAGGAAGTGAGGGAAAACCTCTGTAGGGGAGAGGAGTGTGGGCTGCGGAGAGGGGCCTTGGTTTCCCTGACCCCCCAGGCCCCGGCAGAGTGGTGGCTAGAGCTCAGAAGAGTCCCAGGCTCACGGCCGCCACCGCCCTGCCTGGCCACCCCCGCTTTCTATCGGCCTGGGCCTCCTCCACCCACTTCCCATCCCCGCACACACCCCTGGCCTCGCAGCCCGTGAGGAGGGCGGGGGGCGCCGGGCAGGGCCTGCCTGCTGGGGGGGGGGTCCTCATGGAGAAGTCTGTCTCCAGTCCCATTGTGACGGTCCAGCGAGAATCACGGAGTCCGAGAACCCCTGGCCCCAACTTGCCATGCGCCCGACCCTTGTCTGGTCTGTGGCTTGTGGTCTGGCAGTGGGTGAGGGTCAGAGACCCTCCACCCTCCCTGTGACACCAGCCACTCCCGTACGCCCACCTCCTGCTCCTGGGCTGGGCGGAAGCTCCAGGAGCTTGTTCATAACCACTGGCAGGTGCGGGGACAGGGCAGGCCTCTGGGATGGGAACACAGGCCTGCGGGCCCGGGGCTCCTACTGCATCGCCAGCAGGGCCTGGAGGGACGCGCCACGGCCAGTGCCCAGCGCGGGCGGCCGGGGCCGGGCGTTTGCTTTGGTGCTGTGGCTGCCGCGCCCTGGCCGGCGCTGGGGAAGGTGGGAGCGAGCTGGGCTCACCTGTGGTGCCCTCAGCAGAGACGGGGCCCAGCTGCTTGCCGCCTGCCAGCCCGTAGAGCAGGAACCGGTACTTCCTGTGGGGCTCCAGGCCGCCGATGGTGGCCGCGCGCTGGTCTGCGGCCACCGGCACCGCCCGGGGCTGCCCGTGCCTGTCCTTGTACTGGACCACGAAGGAGTCGAATGTGCCCTGGGGGACCGTCCACGAGAGGCCCACGGAGTCTGGCGTCACAGCTGTCACTGTGAGCTCCCCCAGGCGCGGCGGTTTGGCGTCTGGGACTGGAAAGGAGAGGGAGGTGCATGGAGAACGGCAGAAAAGGTGACACAAGCAGACAGCGTCCTTGGGGCCACGTGTCAGGAAGGGGAGGCAGCGGAGGACAAGAGAGCAGCCGGGAAGCCCAGCAGGCATGCACCGAAAGGTCACCGGTTCGATTCCAGTCAGGGTGCATGCTCGGGCTGTGGGCTTGATCCGCCCCCCATGGGGGCATGCAGGAAGCAGCTGGTTGATGTTTGTCTCTCATCATTGATGTTTCTATCTCTCCCTCTCCCTTTCTCTCTTTCTGAAATCAATAAAAACACTGAGGATGGAGCTTGCAACCCAGGCATGTGCCCTGACCAGAATCACACCTAGGACCATTCAGTCCTCAGACTGACACCCTAGCCCAGTGGTCAGCAAACTGAGGCTCGTGAGCCATATGGGGCTCTTCGGCCCCTTGAGTTTTCAGCGGAGGCCAGCTTAGGAGCACCCTAATTAAGCTAATAGCAATGTGCCTACCTGTATAGTTTAAGTTAAAAAAATGTGGCTCTCCAAAGAAATTTCAATCTTTGTACTCTTGATATTTGGCTCTCTTGACTAATGAGTTTGCCACTGCTGTAGCCAAACCAGCCGGGGCAATAAAAATATATTTTTAAAAAAGAGGATACAGGGAAGAAGCGGGTGTCCCTGGGGCTAAGAGGACAGGGAGAAGGACGGGGTGAGGGACCGGGAGGGCACAGGGCTGGATCTCACAGGCCCCAAGGTCTGCAGTGTGGAGCACAGAACATGACCTTCCCACTGTGGCCACAAGGGGGTGAAGGAAGGCCTCTGGCCCGCACTCACCGGTCCTGGCGTCGGCAGAGAGTGGGCCGAGCCTTTGCCCATCCCGCACTCCGAAGAGGAGGAACCGGTACTTGTGGGCCGGGGCCAGGCCGGAGACGGTGGCCTCCCGGAGGTCTCCGCCCACGGGCACCGCCTGGGGCTGCCCCTGTGCGTCCCGGTACTGCAGCAGGAAGGAGTCCCAGGGGCCGCCGTCCGCCGTCCAGGACAGGTGCACCGAGTCCGCGGTCACGGCGGCCACGGCCAGCTCCTCCAGGCGGGGCGCCCCCGGGGGCGCCGGGGGCAGGGCGGCTGGAACAGAGCAGGGGAGGCTCGGGGTCAGCGCCCCAGACAGGGGTCCTTTCCGGCTACGGAACAAACACTGAGCAAACTGCCCTCAGGTGGTCACGGGCCGGGCCGGGGAGGTGCCGCTCCTGGCAGCCCGTGGGGGCGGCTGCGGAGGGATACCTCTGCTCACAAAGGGCCAGTGCGTTCCAGCAGGAGCCGGGCCCGGGCACACCATGCAGTCGGCCTGGCTCCAGCCTCCGAGCCACCAAGACGCCCAGCCAGGGCCCGGAGGCCGCACAGAAACACGGCAGCAGCCAGAGGCTCCGCCAGGGAAGGAACTAAGCTACGGGGTGAGGCCAGGACACTGAGCCACGGACAACAGTCTCCACCTTCCCTGCCGGGACCGGTTTAGCTCAATGGATAGAGCGTCGGCTTGGGGACTGAAAGGTCCCTGGTTCGATTCCGGTCAAGGGCATGTACCTTGGTTGCGGGCATATCCCCAGTAGGGGTGTGCAAGAGGCAGCTGATCGATGACTCTCTCTCATCGATGTTTCTAACTCTCTATCTCTCTCCCTTTCTCTCTGTATAAAAATCAATAAAATATATATTTAAAAAAAAAAAAAAAAAAAAAAACAGTCTCCACCTTCCTCCGCCATCAGAGGACGGGGCGGGCCCTGGGGGAAAGGACAGGGCCGGCCCTGTGAGAAGGGGGCCAGGGGAGAGCGCCCCCGCCGCCCACTCACCGGTCAGGCCCAGGGCGGCCGCGGGGCCCACGCGCCGCCCCCCGTGCAGGCCGTACAGGTGCATCTTGTACTTGCGCCCCGGCTCCAGGCCCCGCACGGTCACCGCGCTCTCCTCGCCCCCGACGCGCAGCAGCTGGGGCCGCCCGTCCCCGTCCTTGTACTGCACGGTGAACGCGTCAAACCGGCCCCGGGCCACGGTCCAGGCCAGGCTCAGCGAGTCCGGGGAGGACCCCGTCACCGTCAGCTCCCCCAGCACGGGCTCCTGGGGGGGCTCGGGGGCCTCCGTGCTGGGTTCCGGGGGGCCGGGGGGCTCGTCCTCTGCATCTGGGGACACACAGGGAGGTGAGGCAGGCTCCGCGGGGAAGTCCCGGCTTCTCCCGAGCCCCGGTCACGCCCGGCCCCGGGCCCTGCGGGAGCCCAGCGGGCACCACGGCCCAGCCCGGAGCAGAGGCCCCGCCCCATCAGCCATCACAGTGTGAGCTGCAGGCTCCCGGCCCCGCCCACTCACCCGTCACCCCGGTGGCGGAGGCGGGGCCCTGGCGCTGGCCGGCGTGGACGCCGTACAGGTGCATCTTGTACTTGTGGGCCGGCTCCAGGCCCGAGATGGTGACCCCGGCCTCGTGTCCCGGCACCCGCACCGCCTTGGGCTGCCCGTCCCCGTTCTTGTACTGGACCAGGAAGTGGTCGAACTGGCCCTCGGGGACGGTCCAGGCCAGGCTCAGCGAGTCCGGGGAGGACCCCGTCACCGTCAGCTCCCCCAGGCGAGGCTTCACGGGGGCGCCGGTAGGGGGCTCCGCTTCGGGTGCTGGAAGAGAGACAAACAAGCTCTCCTGTTGCTGGAAGAGCTGCTGAGACCCCCCTCCTGGTTCCTGGTGTGACCGGCCACCTCCCGCCTCGGGCCTGCCTGCTCCCTCCGCACAGGCCTGCTTTCCCGGTGCCTGCAGCTCCTGCCTGCTCCTCCGTCCTGCTCCAATGTCACTTCCTCCTCAGGACCTCCCTCGCGTTCCCCACCTACTTAAAGTTTCAATCCTCCCAACTAGAACCTACCTTCCTTTTAAAAAAAAATAATTTTTAAAAATAATTCCTTATTATTGAAAGCATTACATATGTCCCCTTTCTCCCTCATTGACCCCCTCCTGCCCTCCCCCACTCCCTACCCCAGGCCCTCACCACCCTACTGTCCATGCCCATGGCCATGCATATGTGCACACAAGGTCCTGATAGATCACCTCCCCCCCCTAACCCCGCCCCCCGCCCCCGCCTTCCCTCTGCCATCCCGCACTCTGCTCCAGGCTTCCATGTCTCCGATCCACTCCGTTCATCAGTTTATTTTGTTCATTAGATTCCAGATATGAGTGAGATCATGTGACACTTGTTTTTCTCTGACCGGCTTATTTCACTCAGCATGACACTCTCCAGGTCCCCCCATGCTGTCTTTTCTCTTTTGCTGCTGCATAGCATTCCCTGGGGTGGATGTACCACAGCTTTTTTACCCACTCATCCACTGGCACGTGGGCTGTTTCCAGATCTTGGCTGTTGTCAATTGTACTGCAATGAACACAGGGGGGCATACATTCTTTCTGATTGATGTTTCTAGTTTCTTGGTATATATTCCTAGAAGTGGGGTCCCTGGGTCAAATGGCAGTTCCACATTAATTTTTTGAGGCAACTCCAGAATATTTTCCTCAGTGGCTGCAGCAGTCTGCATTCCCACCAGCAGCGCACTAGGGGTCCCTTTTTCCCACGTCCTCACCAGCACTCGTCCTTTGTGGATTTGCTGATGGTAGCCATTCTGACAGGTGTGAGGTGATACCTCATTGTCCTTTAAAATTGCATCTCTCTGATGATCAGTGACTTTGGGCATTTTTTCATATGTCTCTTGGCCATCTATGTGTCCACTTTGGAGAAGTGTCTATTTCGGTCCTTTGCCCATTTTTTAATTGGATTTGTTTGTCTTTTGTTAAGTTGTATGAGTTCCTTGTATATTTTGGACATTAACCCTTTATCAGGTGTATCATTGCCAAATATGTTCCCCCATACAGTGGGCTCTCTTTTCCTTTTGTTGGTTTTTTGGTTGTCGTTCAGAAGCTTTTTATTTTGATGTAGTTCCCTTTGTTTATTTTTCTCTTTCGTTTCCTTTGCCCTAGGAGATATATCTGTAAACATATTGCTACAGTCGATGTCTGAGATTTTGCTGCCTGTGGTTTCTTCTAGGATTTTTATGGTTTCATGTCTTGTGTTTTAAGTCTTTTATTCATTTTGAGTTTATTCTTGTGTATGCTATAAGCTGGTGATCTAGTTTCACTTTTTTTTTTTTTTACATGTATCTGTCCAATTTTCCCAACATCATTTATTGAAGAGACTCTCTTGACTCCATTGTATGCTCTTGCCTCCTTTGTCAAATATTAATTGAATATAATGGCTTGAGTCAATTTCCAGGGTCTCTGTTCTGTTCCATTGGTCTACATGCCTGTTCTTGTGCCATACCACGCTGTCTTGATTACGGGCTTTTAATATACCTTGAAATCTGGATATTGGTTCCTCCAATTTCATTCTTCTTTCTCAAGATTGCTGCGGCACCCTTACCCAAGTCGCTCAGTGGATAGAGCGTTGGCCTGTGGACTGAAGGGTCCCAGGTTCGATTCCGGTCAAGAGCATGTACCTTGGTTGCGGGCACATCCCCAGTAGGAGGTGTGCAGGAGGCAGCTGATTGATGTTTCTCTCTCATTGATGTTTCTAGCTCTCTATCTCTCTCCCTTTCTCTCTGCAAAAAAAAAAATCAATAAAATATATACATATTTTTAAAAACATTGCTACGGCTATTCAGGATCTTTTTAAGGTTCCATATAAATTTTTGGAGTATTTTTTCTAGATCTGTATAATATGTTGTTGGTATTTTAGTAGGGATTGCATTGAATCTGTAAATTGCTTTGGGTAGCATGGATATTTTAATGATGTTATTTAAAAATATATATATTTTATTGATTTTCCACAGAGAGGAAGGGAGAAGGCTACAAAGCCAGAAACATCAATGAGAGAGAAACATTGACCAGCTGCCTCCTGTACACCCACACCGGGGATGTGCCTGTAGCCGCGGCACACGCCCCTGACCAGAATCTACCCCGGGACCCCTCAGTCCGCAGGCTGACGCTCTATCCACTGAGCCAAACTGGTTTCGGCTAATGATGTTACTTCTACCAATCCATGAACACAGTATATTCTTTCATTTGTTTATATTATCTTCTATCTCTTTTTTCAAATTCCTATTGTTTTCTGAGTACAAGTCTTTCACTTCTGTGGTTCAGCTTATTCCTAAGTATCTTAATTTGTTGTTGTTGTTGTTGCAATGGCAAATGGGATTGTTTGTTTAGTTTCTCTTTCTGGGAATTAATTATTGGCGTATAAAAAGCCCACTGATTTTTGGGGTTGATTTTGTACCCTGCTACATTGCCAAATTCACATATTAAATCTAGGAGTTTTTGGGGGGAGGCTTTCGAGTTTTCTATGTACAATGCCATGTCATCCATGAATAATGAGTTTTAGTTCCTCTTTTCCAATTGGATGCCTTTTATTTCTTCTTCTTGTCTGATCGCTGTGGCCGGAACTTCGTGTTATGTTGAATAAGAGCGGTGAAAGCAGACATCCCTGTCTTGTCCCTGTTGTTAGGGGAAGTGGTTTTAGTTTTTGTCCATTTACTATGTTGTTCACTGTAGGTTGTTCTCTCTATCATTCCCACTTTGTTGAGAGTTTTTATCAAAATGGGTGTTGGATTTTGTCCAATGCTCTTTCTGCATCTATTGATATGATCATGTGATTTTTGCCTTTCAATTTTTTTAATGTGATGTATCATGTTTATTGACTTGCAAATATTGTACCAGCCTTGCATCCCTGGAAGAATTCCCACTTGGTCATGGTGTGTGATCTTTTTAATATGTTGCTGGACCCAATTTGCTAATATTTCGTTGAGGATTTTAGCATCTATGTTCATCAGGGATATTGGCCTGTAATTCTCTCTCTTTGTAGTGTCTTTATCTGGTTTTGGAATTAGGATAATGCTGGCCTCATAAAAAGTTTGGAAGTGTTCCTTCCTCTTGGATTTTTGGAATAGTTTGAGGAGTATAGGTGTTAATTGTTCTTTGAAGGTTTGGTAAAACTCTTCTGAGAAGCCGTCCAGACCTGGGCTTTTGTTTGCTGGGAGTTTTTAAATTACTGCTTCCATTTCCTTAGTTGTTATTGGCTTATTCAGGTTTTCTGATTCTTTCTGATTCAATTTTGAGAGATTGTATTTTTCTAGGAATCTGTCCATTTCATCCACATTGTCCAGTTTGTTGGCAGATATATTTGTTCATAGTATTTTCTTACAATTTTTTGTATTTATGTAGTGTCAGTGGTTAATTCACCACTTTTGTTTCTGATTTTATTTGGGTCCTCTCTCTTTGTTTCTTTTTAAAAATTTTTTCTTATTGATTTCAGAGAGAAATAGAGAGGTAGAAACTCAATGATGAGAAAGAGTCATTTATCAGCTGCCTCCTGCATGCCTCCACCCCCCAGAATGGGGGATCAAGACTGCAACTCAGGCATGTGCCCTTGATTGGAATCAAACCTGGGACTCTTCAGTCCACAGGCCAAAGCTCTATCCACTAAGCAAAACCACCTAGGGCTCTCTTTGTTTCTTGATGAGTTTGACTAGTGATTCATTAATGATGTTTATCCTTTCAAAGAACCAGCTCTTGGTGTCATTGATTTTTTTTTTTCTTTCTTTCTTTTTTTCTTTTCTTTTTTTTTTTTTTTTAGTCTCGATGTCATTTATTTCTACTCTAATCTTTATTATTTCCTTCCTTCTATTTACTCTGGGCATTTCTTGTTCTCTTTCTAATTCTTTAAGTTGTAGGGTTAAATAGTTTATTGTTTTTTTGTTTTGTTTTGTTTTTAGGAAATCCTGTAATGCTATGAATTTCCCTCTCAGAACTGCTTTTGCTGTGTCCCAGAGATCTCAAATTGTTGTGTGTTCATTTTCATTTATTTCCAGGAATTTTTTTATTTCTTTCATAAACTCATTGGTAGCCCATTCATTGCTTAATAACATCCTATTTAGCTTCCATGTGTTTTTACTGTAGTTGATGTCTAATTTCATTCCACTGTGATCTGAGAAGATGCTTGATATGATTTCAGTTGTCTTGAGCTTGTAGAGACTTGTTTTATATCATAACATGTGATCGATCTTTGTGAATGTCCCATGTGCACTTGAGAAGAATGTATATTCTGCAGCTTTGGGGTGAATCCTATATAATAAAGAGGTAATATGCAAATTGACCCTCACACACTCACAAGATGGCTGTCTAAAACCAGGCTGACAGCAGGATTAGTGAGGGAAGACCAAATGACTTAACAGCAGGCTGCATGGGGCGACTAGGCCAGCAGGGGGCTGTGAGGGGTGACCAGGTTGACAGGGGGGCAGTTGGGGCAACCAGGCAGGCAGGCAGGCAGGCATGTGAGTTATTAGGAGTCAGTGGTCCAGGACTGTGAGAAGGATGTCTGACTGCCAGTTTAGGCCCAATCCTAATCGGGCCTAAACTGGCAGTCAGACATCTCCCAAGGAGTCCCAGATTAAAGAGGGTGCAGGCTGGGCTGAGGGCTTCCCCCTCCCCGTGCATGGATTTTGTGCACCGGGCCTCTGGTTGTTCTATTAATTCCATTAGATCCATGTGTCCTTTAGAGTCACTGCTGATTTTCTGTCTGGAAGATCTGTCCAGTGAAGTCAGTGGGGTGTTAAAGTTCCCCTATTATTTTTATATTGTTATCAATCTCTCCCTTAAAGTGCTCTGGAAGTTCTTTTTTGTATATTTCAGTGCTCCTATAGTTGGTGCATATATGTTTACCAGGATTATATTCTTTTGTTGTATCAATCTCTTTAGTATTATGAAGTGACTTTTGTTGTATCTTGTGATGGTCTTCATTTTTTTTTAAAAATATATATTTTATTGATTTTACACAGAGAGGAATTGAGAGGGACAGAGAGTTAGAAACGACGATGAGAGAGAAACATTGACCAGCTGCCTCTTGCACACCCCCTACTGGGGATGTGCCCGCAACCAAGGTACATGCCCTTGACCGGAATCAAACCCGGGACCTTTCAGTCCGCAGGCCGACGCTCTATCTACTGAGCCAAACCGGTCCCAGCTGGTCTTCATTTTGAAGTCTATTTTGTCAGATATGAGTATTGCTACCCCAAACTTTTTTTCATTTCCATTTGCATGGAAAAAAATTTCTATCCCTTTACTCTCATCCTGTGTGTGTCTTTTGTTCTGAGGTGGGTCCCTTGTAGATAGCATATAGTTGGGTCATGTTTTGATGGGTACATTTATTCCATTTACATTTAAGATTATTATTGATAGGTGCTTATTTATGCCATTCTACTTCTGTATGCCAAGTGTTCTATATTTCTTCTCATTACAGTAGTCCTTTTAGCATTTCTTTTAATCCGGGCTTGGTAGGGATGAACTCCTTTAGCCATTTTTTTTTTTTCCTTTTTGTCTGAGAAGCTCTGTATTTGACTGTCCAATAGCCTTGCTGGATAAAGTAATTTTGGTCGCAGATCCTTGCTTTCCATTACCTTGAGTACTTCATGAGATTCCCTTCTGGCCTGTAGGGTTTCTGACGAGAAATCAGTTGTCAGCTTTATGAGAACTCCTTTGTAGGTAACAGTTTGCTTTCTCTTGCTGCCTTTAAGATTCTCTCTTTGTCTTTAATTTTTGGCATTTTAATTATGATGTGTCTGGGTGTGGACCTTTTTGAGTTCTTCTTGTTTGGGGCTCTCTGTGCCTCCTGAACTTGTATGACTTTTTCCTTTACCAGGTTAGGGAAGTTTTCTGCCATTATTTCTTCAGACATGTTCTCCCTTTCTGCCTCTTCTGGCACACCTATTCTTCAAAAATATTGTTATGTTTCATGTTGTCTCACAGTTCCCTTAAGCTGTGCTCCTGTGTTTGTTTGTTTGTTTTTTTTTTTTTTTTATTCTTTTTGGTTCTCTGATTTAGTGATTTAAAAACAAACAAACAAAAAAACCTTATCTTCTAATTCTCTGATTTGATTCTCAGCTTTCCCTAATCTGCTGTTATTCCAATGTGTTCTATATCATTCTTTGTGTTTTCATAGTTACTATGTCTTTTCTCTTGCTTTTGAGCATCTTTACCATCATTATTCTGAACTTTATATCAGATAAATTTCTTATCTCCATTTCTTTTATCTTTTCTCTGGAGACTTCTCTTGTTCTTTCATTTGGGGGTTGTTTATTTCTCTCTTCATTTTGGCTACCTGTTTGGGTTTGTGACTATGTATTAGATCTGTACATCTCTCAATTTCTAGTGTATAATAGGATGGTGTCAAGCTGTTTCTGACTAATTATCTTAGGCAAAGACTCAAAGCCTCCAGAGACTGCCACTGTCTACAGACTTAGGATAGGATTTGGTCTTGAATTGCCCTCAGGCAATTGTCCACAGGTATGGTAAGAATTTTTTCCCCCCACAGGATGGTGCAATTGCTTCTGCCTGGAGGCTAATTGTTATTCTCAGTCTCTTAATGGGTTTTTCAATAGGGTGGGTCAACTATCTGCCTCCAACTATCTGTATAGCAATGTCTGCATGAGAAAGATCTCCTCTGCATAGTGCTGAGGGAATGACTCAGCACAGGAAACTTGGGGTGTCTGCCTTCTGAGCTCTAACTCCAGAGCCCCAACCCTGGCTTCTGCTCACACAGCTCCAGTCCACTCTGCCCTCCCTCTGTCAGAGCATAAGGTGAGTGGCTCTACAGAGAATTTTGTGCATTGACTTTTTAAGAGGGTGCCTGAATTTTCAGCTCTCTCTCCCTGGCAGATAGAAGCCCTGATGTTTTTCCAGCCAAATGTTATGTGGGTACTCTTCTCAGTTCTGGTGATTTCTGCTGGGGGGGCCCAGCTTGGGGATTTGACCCCAGAGCTCTCAGTGGCACCCCCACAGCTGAGATATCTCTCCAGGACTTCAGTTTCTGTCTGTGGGAGCCCAGCCAGCCCTTTTGTGCCTTGGCCCTTCCAACCAGTCTCTATGCAATCTCCACTTTCCATCCTCTATTATCAGGGTTTTCTCCCGTGAGTCTTCCATTAATTATTCTAGAGGTTTTTCCATATTTCAGTTGTAATTCCAGTTTGGTCTTGGGAGCGTGTCTATGCAACATCCACTTACTCCACCGCCACTTAAAATCTGCCTACTTACCTTCTTTATTTAGAGCAAATTTCAGCAACAAATTTGGAAAACAAGAAATATGATACAACCAGGTGACTGTAGCAGTGACTGATACTTGAGGACACTAAGAAATGACTGTTCATTTTTAAGGTACAATCCTTATCATATGGTCATTTTTAAACAGCCTTTTTAAAGAGAGGACTGTAAATATAGTGAGGAAGTGCAGTTGAATGTAAAAACACAGCAGTGGTCTACCCGATAAGGAATACCACTTGGCTGTACAGAGGAATAAAGTACTGCTTGAGGCTACAACACGGGTGGACCTCAAACATGTGCTCGGGGAAGAAGCCAGCATGGAACGTGTACTGCATGCTTCCACTGGTGTGGTGTTCAGCCAGTGCAGCCACAGAACACAGACTAGGTGGCCTGGGCCTGGCATCGAAGCGGTGGAGAGGAGGCTTTTGCTTGGGGTGGTGGAAAGTTCTACAACAAGACAGCGGTGAAGCATGCACACGGGAAACACACTACAGTTCCACAAGCTGCATGCTGAAAGAGATGATGTTTCTGGTATGTGAATTATGTCAATCAAGTGGTTAATGAAGAGGCATTCTGTGACGAGCCTTCTGGCAGGGGCTGATATATGGTGGAAGCAGTTCTGACCCTGGGCCTTCATTATTCCACTCTTCCTGCTTATTTGAAATTGTATATATAAATGCTGGTTGATTGCATTCATATTTCAAGACCTATATCCCAGCCTCCCCCAAAGGGCTCTTTCCAGAGCTGCAGGCCCAGCGGAGAGCCACACCGCATGGCGGGGGTTGCTTGACGCTTCAGTACCCAAGGCCTCCCGGATGGCTGGGCCCTGCCCTGAAACCTGCTTCCTGGCCGTGGACCACCCCTGTTCTGAGCTGCCTAGTGGACAGGGTGTGGGTCAGAGGTCGAGAGGTTATGGACTGAACTGGAAGAGACTCTGACGCCACTACAGAGACCTTTCCTAAGCCCAACCCTGGGCCCTTCAGTAGCCACTCACCGGTCAGGCCCAGGGCGGCCGCGGGGCCCACGCGCCGCCCCCCGTGCAGGCCGTACAGGTGCATCTTGTACTTGCGCCCCGGCTCCAGGCCCCGCACGGTCACCGCGCTCTCCTCGCCCCCGACGCGCAGCAGCTGGGGCCGCCCGTCCCCGTCCTTGTACTGCACGGTGAACGCGTCAAACTGGCCCCGGGCCCCGGTCCAGGCCAGGCTCAGCGAGTCCGGGGAGGACCCCGTCACCGTCAGCTCCCCCAGCACGGGCCCCTGGGGGGGCTCGGGAGCCTCCGTGCTGGGTTCCGGGGGGCCGGGGGGCTCGTCCTCTGCATCTGGGGACACACAGGGAGGTGAGGCAGGCTCCGCGGGGAAGTCCCGGCTTCTCCCGAGCCCCGGTCACGCCCGGCCCCGGGCCCTGCGGGAGCCCAGCGGGCACCACGGCCCAGCCCGGAGCAGAGGCCCCGCCCCATCAGCCATCACAGTGTGAGCTGCAGGCTCCCGGCGCCCCGCCCACTCACCCGTCACCCCGGTGGCGGAGGCGGGGCCCTGGCGCTGGCCGGCGTGGACGCCGTACAGGTGCATCTTGTACTTGTGGGCCGGCTCCAGGCCCGAGATGGTGACCCCGGCCTCGTGTCCCGGCACCCGCACCGCCTTGGGCTGCCCGTCCCCGTTCTTGTACTGGACCAGGAAGTGGTCGAACTGGCCCTCGGGGACGGTCCAGGCCAGGCTCAGCGAGTCCGGGGAGGACCCCGTCACCGTCAGCTCCCCCAGGCGAGGCTTCACGGGGGGCTCGGCCGTGGTGGTGGGCGGGACTTGGGTGGTCACAGCTTCGAAGTCGGGAGCTGGACGAGCTGGACGGAGACATGGGGGACAGGTGAGGCCTCCTCCGCCCTCAGCGGAGGGCCCATTGCAAACATAAGACAGTGAGGAGCAGAGTCTGCCGTCCTCAGAGCTCTGACTCCAATTCTTTTTTTTTTTTTTACTTTTTATAGAGAAAAATATTTAATTATTATAGTAAGAAGAGAATAATGTAAGTCTATTCAGAATTGTTTAGAGGCATAACTCACAAGTCTTTATGCAATAGTTTGCAATTCTGTTACTTTTCAGTCACTTGAGTTCCAAATCTCTGCTACGTGTATGAGCAAAATCTTTTGCTATTACTTAGGCTGGAAGATCCCTCCTCCACGCTATGTGGCATATTGTTTCTCAAATTGGTATCTTTTTTAAACTAAATCTTTATTGCTCAGATTACTACAATTGTTTCTCCTCCCCAACTCCCCGCACAGCTCCCGTCCACCCGGTTTCCACCCCACCTTCTGCCCTTTCCTCCCCCCCTCCCCCCCCATTGTGTACGATCCATAGGTGTACGATTTTAGTCCAGTCTCTCCCTGCATTGCCCACATCCCTTTCCCCCTGATAATTATCAATCCACTCCCTTTCTTTGCCCCTGATTCTATTATATTCACCAGTTTATTCTGTTCCTCAGATTTTTAATTCACTTGATTTTTAAATTCACTTGTTGATATATATGTATTTGTTGATCATAATTTTTATCTTTACTTTTTTCTTCTTCTTTCTCTTCTTAAAGAATACCTTTCAGCATTTCATATAATTCTGGTTTGAGTGGTGATGAACTCCTTTAGCTTCTTCTTATCTGTGAAGCTCTTTATCTGCCCTTCAATTCTGAATGATAACTTTGCTAGGTAGAGTAATCTTGGTTGTAGGTTCTTGCTATTCATCACTTTGAATATTTCTTGTCACTCCCATCTGGCCTGCATAGTTTCTGTTGAAAAATCAGCTGATAATCATATGGGTGCTCCTTTATAGGCAACTAACTGTTTTTCTCTTGCTGCTTGTAAGATTCTCTCTTTGTCTTTTGCCCTTGGAATTTAATTATGATGTGTCTTGGTGTGGTCCTCTTTGAATTCCTTTTGTGGGGGGTTCTGTGTGCTTCTTGTACTTGTAAGTCTATTTCTTTCACCTGATGGGAGAAGTTTTCTGATATTATTTCTTCAAACAGGTTTTTAGTATCTTGCTCTCTCTTTTTTTCTGGCACCCCCATAATTCTGATGTTGCTACACTTGAAGTTGTCCCAGAGGCTCCTTACACTATCATCAACTTTCTGGATTCTCTTCTCTTCTTGCTTCTCTGGAGGAGTGTTCTTTGCCTCTTTGTATTCCAAATCTTTGACTTGATTCTTGTGTTCCTCTAGTCTGCTGTTGGGTCTCTGTAAATATTTTTTATTTCAGACATTTTATGTTTAATTTCTAGTTGGCCCTTTTTCATATCCTCGAGGGTCTCGTAAATTTATTGTCCTTTTCTAAGAAATTCTTGAAAAACCTTATAACCATGGTTTTGAACTCTATATCCAGTCTTTTGTTCTCCTCCATTTCTTTTGTTTAAGTTCTATTTCCTTGTCTCGGCATTTTCACTGTTTCCCTGAATTGGCAGGATGGCTCTGTGTGCTCAGTGTCTTATATGGGCTGATGGGTCAGCTTCCCCAGTTACTTGAGGTGGACTCTCTTGGTGCTCCCCTTTGGTTACGTCTTGATTGTTGTTGGTATCACTGGGAGGAATTGACTCCAGGCCAATTGGATGTATCAGCTGTGTCTACTCTGGGATACCTTCTGTATGGGAGACAGTCTTATAGGACCAGACTTGCAAAATTGCAACAGCCTCTGTGCTCAGCCTAAGCTGAATCTCAGGGCTGAGTTGACAGTCTTGGCTTCCCATCTGCCCTGCCCTTGTGCATGTGCCTCAGACCTCTGCCTTCCACGGATCCCCTGAGTTTCCACCCAACAGTCCAGATTCCCCTTGTAAGAGCATGGGTGCCCCAGGGGCTCACCCAGAACTGGGTTTCAGTGCTCAGTGCAATTGGAACTGGGGTTCAGTGCAGTCAGGAGCTTCCGACTCCTTCCGCTATGGAGAGGCTGTGGCAACCTCCGCAGTCAGACCTCTCTGCATGCACTCACTGGCTCGTGATTCTACACCCTGCCCGCTGCGGCTCCCGGCTCCCCCTAGTTTCCCAGTCTCTGAGCTCCAGGTGCCTTTCTCTACAGTCCAGACTCCACCCGTATGAGCCTGGGCCCACGGGGTTTCAACTGGGGCTGGGCTTCAGTGCAGTTGGGGGCTTCCATTCCCCTTCCGCCAGCCAGGCACTCAGCCGCCCTTCCTCTCTGTCCGGGTCTCTCTACCTCAGAGCTTTGTGGCTCCCAATCCAATCCCTGAGCCTCTCTCCTTTCTAGTTATGGATTTCCCACTCAGCCACCTGTCCTGTGGCTTTGGATGATGTCCGTACTGTATTTTAGTTGTTGTTTTCAGATTGTTGTGTGAGACAGCAGTTTAGGTGCTTACCTAGGCCACCATCTTTGTTTTCCCCTCCTAATTCCAATTCTTTCTGGTTCCTCTAATATCTCCTTCCTCCCCCATCTCACACCCCTCACCAGCACCGCTGTGCTCCGTCCTCCAGCACCCTCCTCCCCCACCCCAACAGCACCCCTGTGAACCCTCCACCACACCCGCCTCCCCCATCCCATCAGCACCCCTGGGCCCCTTCAGCACAGGCTCTGCTCTCTGAACCCAGGCGCTGGGCTCCCTCCCCTGGGTCTGGGGGCATCTCACTCCTCTGGCTCAGGACATTGCTCCCAAAGAGCTCAGACCGATCAGAAACCTGAACCTCTTGGTGCCCCCGGGCTCTCCTTCCCCAGCCTATGCACCAGCTGTGCCACCGTGGAATGAGCCACTCTTTGTCCTATGGTGCAGTCACCGTGCCAACCTGCCTGACGCAGCCTCACAGCCCGGGCCTGGCCTGCCCCAGGACTTCCTGTCATACCCCATCTTCTGTCCCCCACCCAACCCTCCCACCCCGCATGTGGCCTGTTCTGTGGGTTCCAGCCTGTCTTCCCAGGACCGGGAACCCCATTAGGATAAGAGCTTGTCCCTCTGCCAAGTTCAAGGTCGACCTGTGAATTCCCGCGGCGAGGCCCAGGGCTCCCATGTTGGCTGACCCCCCAGTCCTCAGTCTGGAGAGGTCTGCCCCTGAGCTCCTCCAACCCGTCAGGGCCTCCAGGCGCCAGCGAGGCCCAGCGGGCGGGAAGGAAGGGCTGCGGGCGGGACTCCCTCCCACAAGCTCTCAGAAAGTGTCCGCCCCCGGCCGTGAGGTGTGGCCAGAGCGTGGAGACCAGCAGCATCACTGCCGAGGCCCCTGTGGGGGAGCCACTCTGCAGCCCAGCCCCTGCCCGGCACGGCCTCCACAGGGACCCCAGGCCGGCATGGAGCCGGGGGAGTGGGGGGTGTCACTGGTGTTTCCAGGAAGATGGCGACAGAGGGAGAGTCTCCCAGGGCCCTCCTCCCGCCGCCGCCCACTCACCGGTCAGGCCCAGGGCGGCCGCGGGGCCCACGCGCCGCCCCCCGTGCAGGCCGTACAGGTGCATCTTGTACTTGCGCCCCGGCTCCAGGCCCCGCACAGTCACCGCGCTCTCCTCGCCCCCGACGCGCAGCAGCTGGGGCCGCCCGTCCCCGTCCTTGTACTGCACGGTGAACGCGTCGAAGTGGCCCCGGGCCACGGTCCAGGCCAGGCTCAGCGAGTCCGGGGAGGACCCCGTCACCGTCAGCTCCCCCAGCACGGGCCCCTGGGGGGGCTCGGGGGCCTCCGCGCTGGGTTCCGGGGGGCCGGGGGGCTCGTCCTCTGCATCTGGGGACACACAGGGAGGTGAGGCAGGCTCCGCGGGGAAGTCCCGGCTTCTCCCGAGCCCCGGTCACGCCCGGCCCCGGGCCCTGCGGGAGCCCAGCGGGCACCACGGCCCAGCCCGGAGCAGAGGCCCCGCCCCATCAGCCATCACAGTGTGAGCTGCAGGCTCCCGGCGCCCCGCCCACTCACCCGTCACCCCGGTGGCGGAGGCGGGGCCCTGGCGCTGGCCGGCGTGGACGCCGTACAGGTGCATCTTGTACTTGTGGGCCGGCTCCAGGCCCGAGATGGTGACCCCGGCCTCGTGTCCCGGCACCCGCACCGCCTTGGGCTGCCCGTCCCCGTTCTTGTACTGGACCAGGAAGTGGTCGAACTGGCCCTCGGGGACGGTCCAGGCCAGGCTCAGCGAGTCCGGGGAGGACCCCGTCACCGTCAGCTCCCCCAGGCGAGGCTTCACGGGGCGCTCGGCCGTGGTGGGCGGTTCTGAAGGTTCCTCCTCGTCGTCCCCGGGGGCTGGACAGAGACGGGAGGAGACGCGCCTGAGAGAGGCGTCGGGCTCGCTGGTGCAGGACGCGTGGGGCAGCTCCTCCCGCTCACCTGTCAGGGCCTCCACCTGGACGGGGCCCAGGCGCTGGGGGCCCCGGATCCCGTACAGCTGCACGCGGTACCTGTGGCCGGCCTGCAGGCCGGAGAGGGTGACGTCCCTCCGGCCGCCCCCCACGCTGGCAGCGCGGCGCCGCCCTTCCTGGTCTGTGTACTGGACCTCGAATGAGTCCAGCTGCCCCTCGGCGACCGTCCAGGACAGGCGCAGGGCGTGCGGGGCGGCCTGGGCCACCGTCAGCCCCCCGAGCTGGGGCTCCGGCTCTGCAGGGCGCGGGGCTGTGGCCCCCGCTCCGCCGTCCTCCCCGCGGGCTGGTGCAGAGACAGGCAGAGGCCGTGAGGGGTCTGTCGCCGCCCCAGGTCTCCAGGGGGAGGAAGGGGGCGGTACGCGGCGGGCAGGGGCGCCAACCATTGCTACACAGGGAGCCACTTCCTCGCGTGATGCTGAACGCAAGACACGCCACGAAGGCCGTGTCCGGTTCTGGGGGGTCTCCCCGAAGGGCACCTGCAGCCGCCGCCGTGGCCGCGCTGCCCGCCGGGCGCAGCGGATTGGGGTTCAGGCACAGCCAGCTCAGTGGCAGTGACTCATGCCTCACGCTGCCCAGACCATCCACTTAGCCCCTCAGGGGGAGCTCTGCTGCGTGTGAATCATCCCCCAGGCAGCTCCTCCCCAAAGGGGCCCAGGAAAGTCAGAGAGGGCGAGGGGGGAGAGGGAGAGGGGGAGAGGGAGAGGGGGGAGAGGGAGAGGGGGGAGAGGGAGAGGGGGGAGAGGCGGGGACAGGGAGAGGGAGAGGGGGAGAGGGGGAGAGGGAAAGGGGGGAGAGGGAGAGGGGGGAGACGGAGATGGGGAGAGGGAAAGGGGGGAGAGGGAGAGGGGGGAGAGGCAGGGAGAGGGGGGAGAGGGAGAGGGGGGAGAGGCGGGGACAGGGAGAGGGGGGAGAGGGAGAGGGGGAGAGGGAAAGGGGGGAGAGGGAGAGGGGGGAGAGGCGGGGAGAGGGGGGAGAGGGAGAGGGGGGAGAGGGAGAGGGGGGAGAGGGAGAGGGGGGAGAGGCGGGGACAGGGAGAGGGGGGAGAGGGAGAGGGGGAGAGGGAAAGGGGGGAGAGGGAGAGGGGGGAGAGGCGGGGAGAGGGGGGAGAGGGAGAGGGGGGAGACGGAGAGGGGGAGAGGGAAAGGGGGGAGAGGGAGAGGGGGGAGAGGCGGGGAGAGGGGGGAGAGGGAGAGGGGGGAGACGGAGAGGGGGAGAGGGAAAGGGGGGAGAGGGAGAGGGGGGAGAGGCGGGGAGAGGGGGAAGAGGGAGAGGGGGAGAGGGAGAGGGGGGAGAGACGGGGAGAGGGGGGAGAGGGAGAGGGGGAGAGGGAGAGGGGGGAGAGGCGGGGACAGGGAGAGGGGGGAGAGGGAGAGGCGAGAGAGGGAGAGGGGGGAGAGGGAGAGGGAGAGGGGGGAGAGGGAGAAAGGGGAGAGGGAGAGGGGTAGAGCGGGGACAAGGAGAGTGGGGAGAGGGACAGGGGGGAGAGGGAGAGGCAAGAGAGGCGTGGACAGGGAGAGGGAGGAGATGCGGGGAGAGGGGGGAGAGGGGGGAGAGGGGGGGAGGCGGGGAGAGGGGGGAGAGGCGGGCAGGGGGGAAGGGGGGAGAGGGAGAGTTGTAGAGGGGGAGAGGAAGAGGGAGGGGGGAGAATGAGAGGGGGGAGAGAGAGGGGCGTGTAGGGGGGAGAGGTAAAGGGGGGTGAGGGAGAGGTGGGAGAGGGAGAAGGGGCAGAGCCGGAGGAAGGCGGGCGGTCTGCCCAGCCGTGCACTCACCTGTCACGGCGAGGGCCGAGAGGGGCCCCACGCGCCGGCCCCGGTGCAGCCCGTAGAGCAGCAGCTGGTACCTGCGGGCGGCGTCCAGGCCCCGGACGCTGGCCTCCCTGAGGCCGCCCTCCACAGGCAGCACCTGGGGCCGCCCCGCCCCGTCCTCGTACTGGACCACGAAGGAGTCGAACTCGCCCTCGGGCACCGTCCACGCGAGGCGCACGGAGCTCGGCGTCACGCCGGTCACGGTCAGCGCCCCCAGGCGCGGCTCCTGCGGGTGCTCTGCGGCTGGAGCGGCGGGAGGACAGAGCCGGTGAGCGCTCGGAGACAGCTGCCCCAGGCTCCGGGCTCTGCGGCAGCCCCGTGGGACAGACGGGCCGCCTGCTGACCGCAGTGGGAGGGCCCGACATAAGTCCAGCTGCCCTGACTGAGCCGCTGCCCCGTCCGCCTGGCTGGCACGGCTGGCCAGCCGCCACGCAGTCACAGCAGCTCCCCGCCCCCGGGCCCGCCGAGGCAGCCCGCCCTGGCGGACACGTGGTCCGTGCTGGCAGCTGCCTGCCCTCCCTGCAGCTAAGCGGTGCCCACCCCTCCCCGCCCGCCTCCCGCCCAGCACCCGGGCTGCGTGTGGCCCTCTCGCTTCTCCTCTGACCCTAGTGTGGAAAGCAGGGCGCAGAGGTGCCTTTCCCGGGGCATTTCCCCCTCTGCCGAGACCCTGCTTCCCAGCAATTGTCCTCTTGTTTCGTTCAAATAAACTCACAAAAGCTCTCACCAGCTGTGGACAGCGGAGTTCTAGCTCAGTGGTCGGCAAACTCACTCGTCAACAGAGCCAAATACCAACAGTGCGATTGAAATTTCTTTCGGAGCCGAAACCGACTTCTGTGTGTGAGCCACGGAGTTTCAATGGCACTGGCACGTGGTATTGTGTGAAGAGCCACACTCAAGGGGCCAAAGAGCCGCAGGTTGCCGACCACGGCTCTAGCAGCGCCCGTGGCTGCAGCTGTCTTCCCTCCGCCTTAGAACGGTGCGGACTCCGCCGCTGCCTCTGAGCCTCCGTTACCGGCGGCACAGGGGTCCCGCTGAAGCCTCACACTCGCATGTAACAGCCTTTGGTAACGGTACGTTGACGCCTTTGACTTCCTTTGTAACCCCACGCACTTTATGTTACAGCTTTTACGTTTACTTATTTCTTAATCCTCACCCGAGGATATGTTTTCCATTTACTCAAGAGAGAGGAAGGGAGAGGAGAGAGAAACTGATGTGAGTGAGAAACATCGGTGGGCTGCCTCTTGCTGGCACCCGACGAGGGATCGAACCCGCAGCCTGGGCATGTGCCCGCTAGGAATCGAACCCACGACCCTGCAGTGCACAGGACGCTGCCAACCAGCAGAGCCACACCGGCCAGGGCTTATTTTACCGAGTTTTAGAAATACATTCTTATTGCTTTCAGAGAGGAAGGGAGAGTTAGGAACATCAATGATGAGAGAGAATCATTGCTCGGCTGCCTCCTGCACACTTCCCCGCCCCCATTGGACTGTGCCTGGACTGAGCCTGTAACCCGGGCATGTGTCCTGACCAGAATCGAACCTAGAATCCTTCAGTCCACAGGCCGACGCTCTGTGCACTGAGCCAAACCAGCCAGGCTAACACTGCACACACGGTGGAAACCATGAGGGCAGGAGGGCCCCTGCGACTGGATTCCCGGCGACTGGCACCTGACGCCACCAAGTGGGCGGCAGGGGCAGTGGCAGCCATGTCCAACCATGGCGGGCATGTGAAGAGAGGAGGAGACGGCTACACAGTGAGAGGGGGCGGGAGAGGCTTCGGCACTGGAAGTGGGGCGGGCGAGAGGGAGATGGGGGTGGGAGGGAGGGTGAGGGGGGGGCAGGTCCAGCCTGTGCAGGGAGGCGGGCAGGACCTGAGAGAGATGGTGTGGGCCCTGGAAAGCCATGGTGGGCCTGCCTGGGCCTCCCTCACCTGTCACAGCGTCCACGGAGAGCGGGCCCCGGCGCTGCCCGCCGCGGAGCCCGTAGAGGAGCATCCTGTACCCGCGGGCGGGCTCCAGGCCGGGCACCGTGGCCTCCCGCTGGTCTGCGGCCACCGGCACCGTCCGCAGCTGCCCGTCCCCGTCCTCGAACTGGACCACGAAGGAGTCGAACTGGCCCTCGGGGACGGTCCACGCGAGGCCCACAGAGCGGGGCGTCACGCCGGTCACAGTCAGCGCCGCCAGGCGCGGCCCCGGGGACGGCTCGGTGGCTGCAGGAGCGGCTCTGGGCGGAGCTGAGGGCGGGGAGGCGGCCGTCAGGAAAGCCTCGCCCCCGGGTGGGTGGTGAGCACCTCACTGTCCTCCTGGAGCCGCGAGGGCGTCGGGCATCGAACCCTGCTGGGCCCAGCCCTGCCCTCATGCTCCCAGGCCCTGGGGCTCTGCGGGCTGCGGCCACCCCTGGGGCTGGGGGAGCGGCCCCGGACTGTTTGCTCAGCACTCGGCCGTCCGCCCCGCGCCCGGCCCCCAGCTGCTGCCCCTCGGCTGCCCACTCCGCACCCCAAGCCGCCAGGCCCAGGGGAAGTCCTGCGGGCACCACTGGGGAGGCTGCGTGCTCACCCTCCGCCGCCTCCGCCAGGCGGCGCCAGCCCTCCGGACACCGGACTGTCCCCCCATCGCCTGCCTCGCCCTCACCTTGTCCCCCAAACCACCTGCCTCGCCCCCACCTCCTCTGCTCCCCACTGTCAGCAGGTGGTCAGGGGCATCCGTCTCATCCAGGGCAAAGCCACGCCCTGACGGCAGGTGCCCCGAGGCCTGCACGTCTATCTTACACCCCCCAGTTCCAGAACATTCCTCGCCAGCCCACCGATGTTGGGGCACCTTCCCTCTGCCCCAAGGGCCGTCTCCAAGGCCTGGGCGGCCTGTGCTCGTCCTTCCTCAGCGGGCCCTCCCCACCACCTTCCATCACTCGCCTCCGGGCTCCCTGCCTCCCTGTGGGGCCAGGTCACACGGCACCGCTGCCGGGCCTGTGCCCGGGCCCCCCGCTCAGCATGGGGGCTCAGCACGGAGCCCTGGCTGTGCCCCTCACCAGGGTCACCACGCATTGGCTGAGGTAACGCGTGGTTGAGCGTCAACCAAGGAACCAGGAGGTCAGGGTCAGTCCCCAGTAGAGACGCGTACGGGACAGCCAATCAGTGATTCTCTCTCACTGATGTTCTCTCTCTCCCTCCCTCTCCCTGCCCCTGAAACCAGTAGAAATAGATTAAAAGCAAAATGAAAACAGGCTGCTGCCGAGGCCTCAGGAAGAGATGGGCCTGAGCGGAGAGGGCAGGGACGCTTCATTTCACGCCTCGGCTCTGCTCACTTCTGGGTGCTTCCGTCCACGGGAAAGGAGCTGGCCCTCGCCTCAGGCCTCATGGTTGGTGGCCTGGCTCGCCTGGGAGGACGGGACTATGCCCACCGCCAGGCATGGCGGCCCAGGCTGCACCTGGCATGTTTCCAGTTTGGAAACGTTTCTAACTCGCTGCACGCCTTGCTCCTGCTGGCCCGGCCCGCACCCTGCCCTGTGCGGGACAGGCCGCTTTCCCCGCCCTCCTCTCAGTGCCGGCCACAGAAAAGAAACCCGGTGGAAGGTTCTGGAAACTAAGCCAACCACGTCATGGGGAAGGCGGGCTCTGTGGACATCAGCCTCGCTCAAACCTCTCAGTTCCTCTGCTGTCAACTGTGCTCGTTCCTGACAGTAAACGTGGTTTTTCAAACGTGGTCCTTCCTTCAGCGAACCAGGGGCAGGGCAGCGGGAGGGCCCCGGACCCCGGACCCCGGGCTCTGTGCGGCAGCTCGGAGCTGCCCAGGCCGGGCCCTGCGCGGTGGCTGGGCAGCCAGGCGGGAGGCTTCTCCTGGCTGCAAGGCGCTCACGAGGGGGGAGAGGGGGCCGGCCTCAGGCAACTGACCAGCCAGGCAGCCAGGGGAGAGGAGTCGCAGCAGCCCAGAGGCAGGCGGACAGATGCCCTCCATGTGCAGGCCTCCTGCAGGCTTGCTGCTGCCAGTGCCCTGGACCCTGTGCGGCAGGCGCGGGCCCGTTTTACAGGCGAGGAAACAGGCACCGATGCTTAAAAGTGGCCCGAGGCCCTGCAGGCAGCTGGCGGCAGTCAGTCCCTGTGAACGCTCCTCCTCGTCTACCCCAAGATGGTGGGGCACGGGCCCAGGGCAAGGCCAGCCACCACAGAGAGGCTGGGCCCCGGGGGAGGAAATCGAACCCCGCCCACTCACCGGTCAGGCCCAGGGCGGCCGCGGGGCCCACGCGCCGCCCCCCGTGCAGGCCGTACAGGTGCATCTTGTACTTGCGCCCCGGCTCCAGGCCCCGCACGGTCACCGCGCTCTCCTCGCCCCCGACGCGCAGCAGCTGGGGCCGCCCGTCCCCGTCCTTGTACTGCACGGTGAACGCGTCAAACTGGCCCCGGGCCACGGTCCAGGCCAGGCTCAGCGAGTCCGGGGAGGACCCCGTCACCGTCAGCTCCCCCAGCACGGGCTCCTGGGGGGGCTCGGGGGCCTCCGCGCTGGGTTCCGGGGGGCCGGGGGGCTCGTCCTCTGCATCTGGGGACACACAGGGAGGTGAGGCAGGCTCCGCGGGGAAGTCCCGGCTTCTCCCGAGCCCCGGTCACGCCCGGCCCCGGGCCCTGCGGGAGCCCAGCGGGCACCACGGCCCAGCCCGGAGCAGAGGCCCCGCCCCATCAGCCATCACAGTGTGAGCTGCAGGCTCCCGGCCCCGCCCACTCACCCGTCACCCCGGTGGCGGAGGCGGGGCCCTGGCGCTGGCCGGCGTGGACGCCGTACAGGTGCATCTTGTACTTGTGGGCCGGCTCCAGGCCCGAGATGGTGACCCCGGCCTCGTGTCCCGGCACCCGCACCGCCTTGGGCTGCCCGTCCCCGTTCTTGTACTGGACCAGGAAGTGGTCGAACTGGCCCTCGGCGACGGTCCAGGCCAGGCTCAGCGAGTCCGGGGAGGACCCCGTCACCGTCAGCTCCCCCAGGCGAGGCTTCACGGGGGGCTGGGGGGCCTCCGTGCTGGGCTCTGTGGGGCTCGGGGTCTCCTCCACGGCCTCCTGGGCGGCTGTGGAAACAGGGGGTGCAGCTTTCAGGGCGACTTGCTCTGCTGGTGACGGTAGCGTGGTGCTCGGCACAGCCGGCAAACCCGCTCCGGAGCCGCAGCTAGTGGTTTGTGCGGCTTGTGTGTGCCACCCGGTGGCTCAGGCCCCCAGGTGCCCCGGCCGTGCGGACACCGGGCTGGGGGGCAGCGGGCTGGGTCCCTGGTGTCTGAGAAAAGAGCTGTTCGGAAGACGCCTCGGAGGCTGTCCCCGAGGTCACCGTCGGTGCTGCCCTCAGCCACTAAGGGCGAGAGCCTCTCCCACCTGCCACCCCTCCCGCTCCTCGGCCCCAGCGCTGCCCAGGCCAGCAGCAGCAGGGCAAGAGGCGGCACATGCCCGCTGAGGGCTCCCAGGGGCCCTGCCCTCCCTCCCCTCTGACCCTCAGGATGAGCTGCTAGGCAGGACTTGAGGGAAAAGTGGGGCTGGTGGTGGGGGTGGGGGGCCCCTGCTCTTCCCTGGCTGTCTAGAATCTTCTCTGGCTGTCTAGAATCTTCCCTGGCTGTCTAGAATCGTGGCCCCAGGGCGCCTACCCATGTCGGCTGCCCTTCGATCTTTGCTGGGGCTCCATGGACTGGACAAGGACAGCCAGCCCTTCCGTGACCCCCTCCCAGTCCAGGGGAGCCATTAGGGGAAGCAGATGGGGGAGGGAGGAGAGAAGAATGGTAGCCCAGGTGAGGACGGGGAAGGCAGGGATGGGAGCGGAAAGGATACTGGCGAGCCAGAGCGTCGGGGGCCGAGCCGCTGCTGTGAGACTCGGGCTCAGTTGCCCGGCATGTTCTGACGGCTGTGTGAGCGGTTACAGTAGGTGTCCCCATTTGACAGATGGAAAAGCTGAGGCAGACAGGCTCAGTAACCTGCACGTGGTCCCATAGCTCATACAGAGACCTGGGCTCCCAAGCCATGCCCCGGGGTTGGGACCTGGGCGCGGGAGGCGTCCTACCATGCTGTGGGCAGGCGGGCGGTGCTGTCACCTTGGACCTGCCAGCTCTGCACGGAGGGCAGGGGCAGCAGAGCGGGCAGCAGTGAAAGCTCAGACACGGCCTGGAAGGGAAGGCCCCGCACAGACGGGGGAAGAGCATGGCGGCTGAGGACATGGGCAGGAGGAGGGATGTGCTGGGCTCGGAGAGGGGGCTGTTCTCGCAGGTGGAGGAGCAGGGCCACGCCAGGGGGCGGCCTGGTGGCGGGCCAGGAGGGGGGGTGAGGGGGGAGCCCCGGGACATGGGAGAGAAGAGGCAGAGGCATTGGCAGAACCGGAGCGGAGAACAAGAAGGTGGAGGGAGGCGTGGAGGGGCCCTGGGCCAGGTCCCTGGTTCCGCTCAGAGGACGGTGTGTGTGTGTGTGTGTGTGTGTGTGTGTGTGTGTGTGTGTGTGTTCCTCTCTCCCCTCTGGGCTGTAAATCAGAGCCAGCTGGGGCTGAAGGGGAGCCTGGGTGCGGACGGCCGTCACCCCTGCAGGGTCAGATGGGTCAGTGGGAGCTGACGGCCTGGCGCGTCTGGTGAGCGGGTCTGACGCGCCTCGGGGCCTGGGAGCGGCGGAGGGCTGGACGGGCCAACAGGCGGGGAGGCCGGCGGTCCTGGGGGGGCAGCCAGCCGTCTACGGAGGCCCAGCAGGTGCCTGGCTGAGGCGTGTGGAAGGGTTAGGGTTAGGGCTGGTAGGGGTCGCCTGGGCGCAGGTGCCCACTCACCAGTGGTGCCCTCGGCGACGAGGGGGCCGTGCCGCCTCTTGCTGGCGATGCCGAACAGACTGAACCTGTACGTGCGGCCGGCGTCCAGCGGGGAGACGGTGACCGAGCGCTCCGGCCCCTCCACGGGCACCGTCTGGGGCCGCCCGTCCCTGTCCCTGTACTGCACCACGAAGGAGTGGAAGCGGCCCTCGGGGACCGTCCAGGAGAGGCGCAGCGAGTGCGGGGTGGGCTCCGTCACCCTCAGCGTGCCCAGGCGGGGCGGGGCCTCTGGGCTGGGCTCGCTCCGAGGCACTGGGAGGGGCACAGAGAGGCGGCGAGAGGCGGAGTGAGGGGGCGCACTGCGCACTCTGCTGCCCGGCTACACGAGGGGCTGGTGTGGCCCAGGGGGAGGGGCCTCAGAGGCGAGGGGTCCACGAGCCCTTTGCCAGTCTCCATGGCCAGGGTGCTGCTGGGCTGCCCCTGCTTCCAGCCTCACTACCATTCACTAGCTGGTTCATCGGGGGGGGGGGGCGCCCCTCGTGGAGTGGATGGTTGTGGGGGAGCCTCCCACACCCGTGCTCTGGGCCCCACACCCTCCTCCTGCCCTCCTCCTCGTCTGCCCCCATCCCCACCCGGCACTCTATCCCAGCACAGATTTCAGAACGAGAGGTCTACCCTGGTGGTAGCCTGTCTGCATCCCAGCCCCCCCCCGCCCCCAGGACAGTGCTAAGCCCCCCCCCCAGCTCTCCCCGGGACCGTGCTGAGCCCCCCTCTTACCCCCCCAGCTCTCCCCGGGCAGTGCTGAGCCCCCCAGCTCTCCCCGGGCAGTGCTGAGCCCCCCTCTTACCCCCCCAGCTCTCCCAGGGCAGTGCTGAGCCCCCCAGCTCTCCCAGGGCAGTGCTGAGCCCCCCCAGCTCTCCCCGGGCAGTGCTGAGCCCCCCCCCCCCAGCTCTCCCCGGGCAGTGCTGAGCCCCCCCCAGCTCTCCCCGGGCAGTGCTGAGCCCCCAGCTCTCCCCAGGGCAGTGCTGAGCCCCCCCCCCCCCCAGCTCTCCCCAGGGCAGTGCTGAGCCCCCCCCCCCCCCAGCTCTCCCCGGGCAGTGCTGAGCCCCTCAGCTCTCCCCGGGCAGTGCTGAGCTTGAGCTGCTAGTCCTGTGGACACCGAAGCTCTGAACCTGGCACGTCAGGCCTCGCCCCCGTTGGACACCAGGGAGCCACTAGGGGGCTCGGCCCCTCTTCCAAGCCGCCCTGAGGCTACTGTGGGCTCCCCTCCCTGTGGGCGCCTGCAGCGCTGGCCACCCCCAGGGTCCCACCGGCCCACCCTGCTCCTGTGCGCTGGCACTGATGCCCCCACACCCCCTTCAGGTCTCCCGCCCGCAGCCCCCACCCAGGAGGGCAGCAGTACAACCGCCGGGCGCTCTGAGCGGCCCCTCTGTGCCCACTCCGCGCCTATAGCCCGGCACGCCCCCCCCCCCGGGGGCTTGAGGGTGGTGCCAGACACCCAGAGCCTCCGGGGTGCACGTGACCTTGGCAAACACTCAGAAGACCAAGCACAGGGCACTGCTCCTCGCCCCTCCGCTCCTCGCCCCTCTGCTGGCCCCTCCGCTCCTCGCCCCTCTGCTCCTCGCCTCTCTGCTCCTCACCCCTCTGCTGGCCCCTCTGCTCCTCGCCCCTCTGCTCCTCACCTCTCTGCTGGCCCCTCTGCTCCTCGCCCCTCTGCTGGCCCCTCCGCTCCTCGCCCCTCTGCTCCTCACCCCTCTGCTCCTCACCCCTCTGCTGGCCCCTCTGCTGGCCCCTCCGCTCCTCGCCCCTCTGCTCCTCGCCCCTCTGCTGGCCCCTCTGCTCCTCGCCCCTCTGCTCCTCACCCCTCTGCTGGCCCCTCTGCTCCTCGCCCTTCTGCTCCTCGCCCCTCTGCTCCTCACCCCTCCGCTCCTCGCCCCTCCGCTCCTCGCCCCTCTGCTGGCCCCTCCGCTCCTCACCCCTCTGCTCCTCACCCCTCTGCTGGCCCCTCTGCTGGCCCCTCCGCTCCTCGCCCCTCTGCTGGCCCCTCTGCTCCTTGCCCCTCTGCTCCTCACCCCTCTGCTGGCCCCTCTGCTCCTCGCCCTTCCGCTCCTCGCCCCTCCGCTCCTCGCCCCTCTGCTGGCCCCTCCGCTCCTCACCCCTCTGCTCCTCACCCCTCTGCTGGCCCCTCTGCTCCTCGCCCCTCCGCTCCTCGCCCCTCCGCTCCTTGCCGAGGGGATGGGATTGTCTGACCCAGAAAAGCCAGGCGCCTGAGCCCTTGCTCTCCTCACCTCCCACATCCAGACCCACTGCCCACCCTACCAGCCACTGCCCTTTTGCCGGCTCCCAGGGAACTCACTCCTTCCTCCAGGGACCCGCCCCCGGCCTCCACGGACCTTGTAGGATAAAAAGAATCGCCTCTCTCACCACTGAAAACCCCTCAGAGTCCCCCAGGGCAGTGCTGAGCCCCCCTAACCCCCCAGCTCTCCCCACTGAAAACCCCTCAGAGTCCCCCAGGGCAGTGCTGAGCCCCCCTACCCCCCCAGCTCTCCCCACTGAAAACCCCTCAGAGTCCCCCAGGGCAGTGCTGAGCCCCCCTACCCCCCCAGCTCTCCCCACTGAAAACCCCTCAGAGTCCCCCAGGGCAGTGCTGAGCCCCCCTACCCTCCCAGCTCTCCCCACTAAAAACCCCTCAGAGTCCCCCAGGGCAGTGCTGAGCCCCCCTACCCCCCCAGCTCTCCCCACTGAAAACCCCTCAGAGTCCCCCAGGGCAGTGCTGAGCCCCCCTACCCTCCCAGCTCTCCCCACTAAAAACCCCTCAGAGTCCCCCCAAGGCAGTGCTGAGCCCCCCTACCCCCCCAGCTCTCCCCACTGAAGACCCCTCAGAGTCCCCCAGGGCAGTGCTGAGCCCCCCTAACCCTCCCCCCAGCTCTCCCCACTGTGGACACCGAAGCTCTGAAGACCCCTCAGAGTCCCCCCAGGGCAGTGCTGAGCCCCCCTATCCCCCCGGTTCTCTCCACTGAAAACCCCTCAGAGTCCCCCCAGGGCAGTGCTGAGCCCCCCTACCCCCCCCCAACCCTCCCCACTGAAAACCCCTCAGAGTCCCCCAGGCCCTCGGAAGGCCCAAGCTCCCGTCAGACATGAGACCAATGCCCTCAGCTGCCCAGCGAGGAAAACAGACCCGGGCCCTCCCAGTCTCCCGCCGCCTCGCTCTCCACGGCCCCCGCCCGCACCGCCTCCTCAGCCTGTTTCCCTTCGGATCCTCTCAGGACCCTGCCTCCAGGCAGCCCTCCTGGAGTTCCCAAAGCACGAGGACGCGGAGTCCAGAGGGCGGCGGGCGGCCGGGGGGCGGCGCCTCACTCACCGGTCTTGGCTTCCGCCACCAGGGGGCCGTGCCTCTTCTTGCCCACAAACCCGTACAGGACAAACTTGTACTTGCGGCCCCCGTCCAGGCCGGTGACGAGGGCTGAGCGCTGCGGCCCCTCCACGGGCACCACGCGGGGCCGGTCCCGGTCCTTGAACTGGATCGTGAAGGAGTCGAACTCGCCCTGCGGGACCGTCCAGTGCAGGCGCAGGGAGCTGGAGGTCGCGTCGGCCACCGTCAGCTCGCCCAGGCGCGGGGGGGCCCAGGGCTGCCCCGGCTTCTCCCCGTCGCTGTCTAGGGGGGCGGGGAGGGAGAGCGGGCACTCAACCCGGCCCTCCTCGCCTCCTCCGCCACCGCCGCGGGCTCACTCCCCGCGGGACAGTCCGCCCGCCCGCCCGCCCTCCGCTTCCCCACGGGGCCGCCGTGACCAGCCTTCCCGAGGAGCTGTCCCCCCCCCCCCCCCGCCAGGTCCCAGTTTCTCTCCACACCGAGGTCATGGGGACGTTTCAGGCCCCCGTGCTGCTTCTGGACAGTTTGGAAACCCCTGAGTCCACCTGCCCGGCTCTCCCCGTCTCCCTCTGGTGAGCTGGACCTGGAGCTTCGGGGTCCCCTAAACTGGGAACGTGAGAGCCGGGGACCCCAGCGCCGGCCTTCCCTGGCTCTGCAGACCTCGCCCATCCCTGCAGGCCTGAGGCTACGGTGCTCCTGCCCCAAGGGGCCTCTACCCCGGAGAGCAGGGCCGGTGGGCCACAGGGGCAGTGCCGCCACCTAGCCTGCTCAGCAGGGCGGCAGGGGCAGGAGGAGGAGGGGTTGAGGGTCACATCAGAGGCCGCCCCACACCCACCAGAGAGCTCCACGGGTGGGGCAGAGGAGTGACCAGGCCGCGGGGGCAGGACTCAGGGCAAAGAAAGCTGCAGGGAGAAGCCTGCCCACTCTGACGCCCCGCCTCCTCCCATGTTCTCTTCCCGGGAACTCCCCTCCCCGCGCTGCCATCGTTCCAGACCTCACCCATCCCTCCTCTGTCCCTCCACTCCTTTTCTCCGCTGTTTGCTCCCAGCTCCCACCAGACAGCCTGCCTTCCACCCTCCCACCCCAGCCCGCCCCAGCCCCGTGGCCCAGGTCTGAGCAGAAGCCAGGATGTACCCATAACGCCTTGGTAGATGAGCGGGGCAGAGGGCTCGCCCTCAGAGGTGACCCCACGAAGGGACAGCTCATAGGGCGCTCCAGGAGGGGGCGAGGGCAGCAGTGCCTGGCGGACATCCCCGGGCAGTAGTTGGTCATGCGACCCTGGCCCGCCGGGCACCCGGAGGCGCAGCTGGAAGCGGTCAAAGGTGTCAGGCTGGGCCATCCAGGCCACGCGCAGGCGCCCCGCATCGTCTCTGCCCAGCACCCTCAGCTCCCCCAGCTCCTGGGGGCGCTGCTGCAGGCCCGGCGCCTGGGCTCCTTGAGTCGTCGCAGGGCCGGAGGGCGGGGGCTCATCAGTGGCCCCCAGGAGGCCGGAGGGGGCGGACCCTGGGAGGGGCAGGGCAGAAAACAGGAGGGTCCGGTGTGAGAGCGGGAAGGGGTCTGCCCGCCGGCCCCTGAGAGCCCGCACACCTCCCCGCCGCCTCACCCGCCCCCCAGGCCGCCGGCCCCCACATTCCGCCCCGCGCGGAGCAGACTGGCCTGCGGGTAACACTGAATGGAGCAAAGCGCCCCCCCCAGACTTCCCCCTCCCCACTCCGGTGCCCTCCAGCCCCGCCCCAGCCCCGCCACCGAGCCCCCCTGGGAGGGGCTGCGGCTCCCGTCAGCCTGCGGCCGAGCCTGGAAGAAAGGGGGGGGCGGGGTGCCGGAACGGCTGGGTGAGAGGCTTCGGCTTCCGGGCCTAAGGGGAGAAAAGGGCTGCCCCCCGCCCCCCGCAGCCCGGCGCCGGCGGACACGGCTCCTGTGGAGAGACCAGCGGAGGGGAGCGGGGAGCGGGGGGGAGCGGAGGGGAGCGGAGGGGAGCGGGGGGCAGCGGGGGGCAGCGGAGGGCAGCGGAGGGGAGCCGGGGCGGCTGCGATGGCCTTCCGAGGTGTCCCTCTGAGGCCGAGGCCAAACTGTGGGAAATGGCAACCACGGGCCACCGCCTTCAGACCCTCACCGCGGGATCAGAGCCGGGGACCTCGGCTCCTGCCCGCCGCCCTCCGCGAGCCCGCAGCCCCGGCCCGCAACTGCCCCGTGAGGGCCCCAGACCGGGTCTCCGTGGCTGCCCCTCATCGCCGGCTGTGCCAGGGTCCGCCAGGCCCCGGAGCGGAGGCGGCTCCAGGGGCACGGGGTGGGGGCTGTGCTTCGCTGGGGGGACCCCGCGGAGAGCGGGAGGAGCGGGGGGGGGGTCCGGAGGCGGGGCCGGGCCCCGCCCACGCTACCTGTGGTGGTGATGAAGGCGTAGGACTTGGAGGTCCGCCCGGCCCGCACCCCGTGCACCTCCACGTGGTAGGTGGTGCCGGGCCGCAGGCCGGGCAGGCTGGCGGTGCGCGCCGAGCCCGGCACGCTCAGCTCCCCGCGGGCGCCCTCTGCCGGCGGCTGCGGCTGCCAGCGCAGCACCACGCGCTCGAAGTGGCCGCGGAGCCCGTCGAGGGACACGAGCAGGGAGCCGTCGGCGGAGCTGCCCAGCACCTCGGGCTTGGGGTGGCGCGGCCCGGCCACCCCGTCGACGCCTTCGGGCGAGAGGCCGTAGATGCCCAGGTGGGAGTCGGGCTTCCAGGGGCCGGCGGTGGGAGCGGGGCGGCGGGCCGGCGGGGCGGAGGGGGCGGGGGAGCCCGGGGAGCCCGGGGAGCCCGGGGAGCCCGGGGCGCCGGCCGCGCGCCGCCGCTGCAGGTAGGCGTGGATGAGGCGCGCGGCGGACGCGTACGTCTGGTTGGCCCGCAGCGGGAAGCCGCGCGCCCGCAGGTGGCGCTCCAGGTCCTGCGCGGAGCCGCGGAAGCGGCCCAGCTCGGCCGGCAGGTCGCCCCACGGCCGCCGGGAGGGCGGCGGCGCGCCGGGCCCGGGCCGAGGCTCCTTCGGGCCCTCCTCCGTGGGCCGCGGCGGGCGCGGCGGGCGCGGGGCCGGGCCGGGCCGGGGCCGCGGGGGCGGGGCGGGCGGCCGCACCTCCGGGTGGCTGTGGTGGCCGGGTGCTGGGGGGCAAAGAGGGGAAGCGGGAGAGCCGTCAGGGGCAGCCCCCCACTCCTCCCGCCGCCTCCGTCCCCCCCACCGGCCGGAGGCCGCATCCTGGCCGGCCCCACCTGGAGAGACACCGAGAGAAGGAGTTAGTGTCCCGGCGCCCAGCCCTCGCCCTCCTGCGCCCCGCGGCGCCCTGGAAGGAAGAGAAGCCCGCGGGCAGGAGAGAGGGAGCGGGAGGGGGGGAGCCTCAGTCGGTGGGGTCCCTCTGTCACAGGAGAGAAAGTTCCAGCATCTGCCAGGAGACCAGGTTAGCGGGAAATCGCTGCCATGAGACCTCACCCCCAACGCGCCCCTGAGCCAACCGAGTGCTGGTCTCCCTGCCTAATGCCAGTGCCCCCGCCCCGGGGCTCCCGGGGCTCCCGGCTCCGAGGGGGCGGCAGCTCCCGCCACTGCTGTCTCCAGGGCAGGCACCCCCCATCCTCTCCCCCAGGGCAGGCACCCCCCATTTTCTCCCCCCAGGGCAGACACCCCATCCTCTCCCCCCAGGGCAGGCACCCCATCCTCTCCCCCCAGGGCAGGCACCCCCCATCCTCTCCCCCAGGGCAGGCACCCCCCATCTTCTGCCTCTGGGACCGGCGCTGGCGCCTTGCTGCCAGCCTGCCAGGTGCACTCAGGAGCTGCCAGCCTGGGGGGGGGGGGCAGGAAGGGGCTGCGCACTCGGAAGCAGGCCGCCCGCAGCCGGCGAGCGTACCTGTGTTGGCCCTGACGGAAGCCGGGTAGCTCACGGCCCGGCCCCGCTCCGCCGTGACCGTCACCACGTACTCCACGCCTGGCATCAGGTCGGTCAGCAGCGTCCCGTCGGCGCCGGCGGGCACTTCCAGCCGCACCCTCTGGTTGCCGGCGCTGACATAAGACACCACGAACCGGTCCACCTCGGCCTGCGGGCGCAGCCAGCTGAGCGCCAGCGTGGTAGGCGTCACGGCCACCACCCGGAGGTCCTGGGGGCCGTCGATCACTGGCCAGGGAAGAGAGGAGGGGTCAGGCGGGTCTGGCTCCTGGCACCAGCTTTCCTGCTCAGAGCGCCGTCCTGCCCGAGGCCTCCCCAAACCCGCCACGCCCTCCTGGGGGCAGAGTCCTGGCCGCCCCGCCCACGGCCCCCTCTCACTGGTGGTGATGGTCTTGGAGGCAGGAGGGCCCCAGTTGGTCCCTCGAAGGGCGCGGACAGTGACCTGGTACTCCTGGCCCGGGGCCAGTCCTCTCTGGTCGTAGGCCGAGGCAGAGCTGGGCACCCGCGCAGTGAACGGCGGGCTGGCGCCCTCTGGCTGCAGGAGACAGAAGGCGGGTTCGGGCTGGCACTCTGCCCTGCCACTCAGTCCCCTTCTCCTGACTCCAGCTCCCAGCCCCAGCATCAGCTGGATTAGGGTTGGAGTTGGGGTTAGAGTTGGGGTTAGGGTTAGGGTTAGAGTTGGGGTTAGGGTTAGGGTTAGGGTTAGGGTTGGGGGTTAGAGTTGGGATTGGGGTTAGGGTTAGGGTTAGGGTTGGGGTTAGGGTTAGGGTTAGAGTTGGGATTGGGGTTGGGGTTAGAGTTAGAGTTAGAGTTGGGGTTAGGATTAGGGTTAGGGTTGGGGTTAGGGTTAGGGTTAGGGTTAGAGTTAGAGTTGGGGTTAGGATTAGGGTTAGGGTTAGGGTTGGGGTTAGGGTTAGAGTTAGAGTTGGGGTTAGGATTAGGGTTAGGGTTGGGGTTAGGGTTAGGGTTAGAGTTAGAGTTGGGGTTAGGATTAGGGTTAGGGTTAGAGTTGGGGTTAGGGTTAGGGTTGGGGTTAGGGTTAGGGTTAGAGTTAGAGTTGGGGTTAGGATTAGGGTTAGAGTTGGGGTTAGGGTTAGGGTTAGAGTTAGAGTTGGGGTTAGGATTAGGGTTAGGGTTAGGGTTAGAGTTGGGGTTAGGGTTAGGGTTAGGGTTGGGGTTAGGGTTAGGGTTGGGGTTAGGATTAGGGTTAGAGTTAGAGTTGGGGTTAGGATTAGGGTTAGAGTTGGGGTTAGGGTTAGGGTTAGAGTTAGAGTTGGGGTTAGGATTAGGGTTAGGGTTATGGTTAGAGTTGGGGTTAGGGTTAGGGTTGGGGTTAGGATTAGGATTAGGCATCAGCTGGTACTGCAGAATGGGCGGACCGCAGGGAGCCGGCCGGGGACACAGCATGCCCCAGACACCTTCTCCAGGCCTCTGCTACCCAAGGTCCTGGGTGTGCGTGAGCTCACTGGGCCCCGGGGGCTGCCTCAGAGGCCCCTCTCCTGGCACCGCCCTTCAGCCTGCCCCCCAGCTGTCTGCCAGGATGCCACCCACACAACCCTGCAGCCCTGACTCCCTGGCGGACGGGCTTCTTAGCTCACTCTGGTGGGGACCGATGACGGGGACCGTCTGCCCAGCCTGGCCTCCCTCAGACACCCCCGCTGCGTGACCCCTGTCCTGACCTTTCCTTCCAGGCACCTTTCTTGTCTCCTAACAAATAAGGCTCGTCCGCTCAGAGTCCCACCTGTCCCCCCTTCACACCGGCACGAGCTGGGCCCGGAGACACAAACAGCTGCGTCCCTGTGTGCCCACAGCTCAGCTCCAAAGCGAAATGCACGGCCAGCGTCCGGCTTTATGGAGCCTAAACCAGTCTCTGTGGTGCGTGCCCGAGAGGACGGCCCTCCCCTCAGTGCGCACCGCGGTCTTTTACCGTCATTGGGGACCCACAGGGGCGCCGCTGGCCTGCCCCAGACGGTGCCCCGGGGTGCCAGCCAGGGGGGCAGAGGAACTGGACATCTGTGAGCCGCCCACCGCCCCCACCGCCGGCCGCCAGCTTGGACGGCTAAGGGGACGCCGTGTTCCGCCGAGCGGTGTGGGCTGTGATGGGGCCGACGCCAGGCACCGCGCAGGACAGCAAGTTCCTAAAGGTGCTCTCCTAGCAGCTGGCCCGGAGCCACTCAGAAAGCAGCCAAGCACAGGCCGGCGAGAGGCCACTGAGACGTCTGAGCTGAGGGCCAGCAAAGCTTTGTCAGGTTCCCCTGGCTGACAAGGTCCTGGGCATAGGACCCCCCTCTCCTGCTCCCCCCACCCTCTCCTGCCCCCCCGCCCCGCCCTCTCCTGCTCATCCCCCCCACTCTCTCCTGCTCATCCCCCCCACCCTCTCCTGCCTCCCCCGCCCCGCCCTCTCCTGCTCATCCCCCCCACTCTCTCCTGCTCCCCCTGCTCCGCCCACCCCCACCCTCTCCTGCTCTCCCCCCCCACTCTCCCTCTCCTGCTCCCTCCTCTCCTGCTCCGCCCCTCTCCTGCTCCCCCTGCTCCACCCCTCTCCTGCTCTCCCCCCCCCACTCTCCCTCTCCTGCTCCCTCCTCTCCTGCTCCGCCCCTCTCCTGCTCCCCCTGCTCCACCCCTCTCCTGCACTCCCCCCCCCCGACTCTCCCTCTCCTGCTCCCCCCACCCCCACCCTCTCCTGCTCCCCCTGCTCCGCCCCTCTCCTGCTCCCCCCCTACTCTCCCTCTCCTGCTCCCCCTCGCCTCCTGCTCCCCCCCACCCCCACCCTCTCCTGCTCCCCCCGCCTAGGATACCCCAGCTGAGGGGCCCTGGGACTGACTTCAACTAAAGGCCTATGAGATCCTCACCCTTCCCATGACTTAACTATCTGTCACCCTTTATTCCCCAACCCACCACACACACATGCTCACACTTACACACCCTCACATACTCAAATATACATTCACACTCATATACACACTCCCACTCTCACACACACTCTCACATTCACACTCACACACACACACACATCACACTCATATATTCTCACACACACACTCACACTCATATACACACTCCCACTCTCACACACACACACATACACACATTCACACCCTCACATACTCTCACACACATTCACACTCATATACACACACTCACACTTATACACACTCTCATATACACTCACACATTCACACTCATATACACACTCCCACTCTCACACACATTCACATTCACACTCACACACACACACATCACACTCATATACTCTCACACACACTCACACTCATATACACTCTCACACACACATCACACTCATACACACTCTCACACACACATCACACTCATACACTCTCACACGCACTCACACTCACACACACACCTTGGGTGCTCCCTGATGATGGCTATGATGGCTTGTCCTTTCAGGGAGACAGGCTCAAACCACATCTCCTCCTCCCGGTCTACACGAACCTTTTCACACCTTAGTCCCTCCCGAGCCCCCCCTGGGAACAGTCCCCTGACTGTCCCACCATCGGCGCCTGGCCGCTCTGGGCAGGCTCTCTAGCCAGGCGCTGGCAGGTGGCTCTGCCCTCGGTAAAAGCCTGGCTGCTTCACTGACTGTGTGCGGCCAGTGTCTAACCTATTCTTGAAATCGACCTTGTCGCTCCAGGTGGGGGACTCCGCCTTGGCTGGCCTTGGCGTGTACATCCCTGTCTTCCCCTCTTCAGGCCAAACTCAAGCACAAACTTTTCTGAGGCTGCAAGTCTGTGTCCCAGGGGCAGCTGGCGCAGCCCTGGTCCCCGGCAGCAGAACACACCATACAGAACACCCCATACAGAACACCCCATACAGAACACCCATACAGAATACCCATACAGAACACCCCATACAGAACACCCAGACAGAACACCCTGACAGAACACCCTGACAGAACACCCCAGACAGAACACCCCAGACAGAACACCCAGACAGAACACCCCAGACAGAACACCCCGACAGAACACCCCATACAGAACACCCAGACAGAACACCCTGACAGAACACCCCAGACAGAACACCCCAGACAGAACACCCCAGATAGAACACCCCAGACAGAACACCCCAGACAGAACACCCCGACAGAACACCCCAGACAGAACACCCCAGACAGAACACCCAGACAGAACACCCCAGACAGAACACCCCGACAGAACACCCCATACAGAACACCCAGACAGAACACCCCAGACAGAACACCCCAGATAGAACACCCATACAGAACACCCCAGACAGAACACCCCGACAGAACACCCATACAGAACACCCAGACAGAACACCCCAGACAGAACACCCAGACAGAACACCCAGACAGAACACCCCAGACAGAACACCCCGACAGAACACCCCAGACAGAACACCCAGACAGAACACCCCAGACAGAACACCCTGACAGAACACCCACACAGAACACCCCATACAGAACACCCCGACAGAACACCCCAGACAGAACACCCCGACAGAACACCCCAGACAGAACACCCATACAGAACACCCCAGACAGAACACCCCAACAGAACACCCATACAGAACACCCCATACAGAACACCCCATACAGAACACCCCGACAGAACACCCCATACAGAACACCCATACAGAACACCCCATACAGAACACCCCATACAGAACACCCCGACAGCCGAAACCGGTTTGGCTCAATGGATAGAGCGTCGGCTTGGGGACTGAAAGGTCCCGGGTTCGATTCCGGTCAAGGGCATGTACCTTGGTTGCGGGCATATCCCCAGTAGGGGGTGTGCAAGAGGCAGCTGATCGATGACTCTCTCTCATCGATGTTTCTAACTCTCTATCTCTCTCCCTTCCTCTCTGTACAAAATCAATAAAAATATATTAAAAAAAAAAGAACACCCCGACAGAACACCCCATACAGAACACCCCATACAGAACACCCAGACAGAACACCCCGACAGAACAGGACTCTTCCTGTTCTGGTCACCGCCGCAGTTTCCTCGCACTTTCTCTCACATTCATAGAGGAGCCAGCGTTTTTCAAAATAGCAGCATTCCTTAAGTTAGTGGTCCTCAGGTTTGGGGTGCGTCAGAACCACCTGGAGGGCTTGTTGCAACACAGGCTGTGGGGCTCCCCCTGCAGAGCTTCTGAGTCTAGCTCTGGCACCCCTGTCAGACCCAACGCCCGTCTAACCGGCTCCCGGGCCCTGCGGACCTGCAGCTCCAGGGAGCGCGCTTTGAGAACCGCTAAGTCAGCAGAACATGCCTGTACAGGAGGACTGCTCCTCTCTGGTGCTCTGAAAAGCATCCAATTTGGCCAGGATTGCAGCGTCTGAGCTCCGAGAGAGAAGTGTCTCTGAGAAGCAGAGACAGGCAGGCCTCTAGGAAGAGGGCAGTGGCCAGAACATATCCCGTGCCAACGGCAATGGACAGAGTGCTGGCCAAGGCAGGAGGCGCGACGCCAGGGGCCAGCCTCCGGGTGCAGAAAGCGGGTGTGAGGGCCAGCAGCACAGGCTCTGGGGAGCCCAATAGGAGCCCTCGGGGACCAGGTTTACAGGCACGTTCTCTCTGAGCCCGGGTGTGACAGAGGGCCATACCCAGAGCAGGGCAAGGAGCTGGCAGCGTGGCCCCGCCGGGCACAGCCACTCAGCGCCACCCAGCCCCGCGGGGAGGGAGGACGCCAAGGGCTTCGCTGGGAAGCCCCTCCTCCGGAGAACACCCCGGGGTGGCTGTATCTACCGAGATCGGGGGACTGTGCTGCCCTGCACGCTCCCTCCACCTCAAGTGCTTATTTTAATTCCACTTTCCCTCAAGTCTCTTTGGAAAGTTCCTTTTAAAAGTCCCACCCTCTCAAGATGAGAACTATGTAAATAATACACACAGAGAAGAGAGGGGGAGAAACACTCAAAAATGTTAACAGTGTTGTTTTAGTGTGAAGCAGCCAGGAATTATTTGTGTGTTTTTCTAGTTGCCAAATTCTTGTCTTGTGATTAAATTATTTTTATACCAAGTAAAAAATTGCCTAAAACAGGAGGAAAAAACCCAAGCTATCCTGATTATACAGTAAAGGGTTTCTCAGGGCGTGAGGAGACAGAACGGGGGGGAGGCGGGGGGCGCTGGCCTGGGGGTAAGAAGAACCAGGCCAGTTGGGGTGGGATGGCAGCGGCTGCCCCTCTGCCCAGAACCTTCCTCGGTTCCGGCTCTGGGGGTTATTTACGCTCCCAGAGTCCTGGCTGGGCAGGGGTGAGGGGACATGGCCTCCCACCACGGCACAGTGGGATGGGCAGGAGAACGTGAGCTGGACAGTAGGAATGTCAGAGGATTTGGGGCTGGGAGGCCAAACACATCATAGAGGGATGAGGGCATGGAGGGCGGTGCCTGATAGACTAAGGCCAGAAGGCGTTGTCCTCAGGGTGCCCCCAAATACTTCAACAGCGAGCTGGAAGGAGACAGAAGGATGCTTTGCAAGGCACTCAGGCGGGAACCACTTCATAGACTCAAAGTCATGCAACTGCCTGGGCAGCATGGCCCAAAAAGATAACATTGTTGAGCCAACTGCCAAGCCCTATATTTAGGCTAAAAAAGTGTATATAATTCAATGCTGTTTTTTTCTCCTTCTTCTTCTTTTCTCCTTTCTTATCTACTAGAGGCCTGGTGCACGAGATTCCTGCACTGGGGGAAGGGGTCCTTTAGCCCCGGCCTGCACCCTCTGTAGTCTGGGAGCCCTGGGGCAGGGGTGGGGTGGGGGGTCCGACTGATGGCCGAAAAGCTGCTCCCACCACCACTGCTGTGCACTGACCACCAGAGGGCAGCTCCTGTGTTGAATGTCTGCCCCCTGGTGGTCAGTGTGTGTCATAGTGACCGGTCATTCCCCTTTTGGTCAATTTGCATATTAGCCTTTTATTATATAGGATGTTTTCTAAAGTTCCTAGACTAAGTCTACATATGTTTTATAACAAAAAGCTACTTAAAAAAATATGATCAAAACAGCTGACAGTTTGTGTGAGCACAGTTAGCACAGGTCAACTCTGAGAAAATTACTGGGTCTCAGAGCTAGCCAGTGAGCGCCTACGCCCTTCTCTGCACTCATGTTCCAGAATCAAATGCACAGGCCAGAGGCACAAAGAGGGAACTCTGGGGTGAAGAATTCAAGACCAGAGTCCTGGGAACCAGTGGGATCTGCCCGTGAGAATGAAGGGGACTTGATGCCCTGAAAGCCGCAGTGGGGCAGGTCCCTGCCTGCTGTGGAGGCCACTGGGGGAAGAGGATTTGGACTCAGCAACAGCAGGGAGACTGCCTAACAGTGTGGCCCACGGAGCACTGGGCAGCCTCAGAGAACTGAGTCCCGTCGCCAGAGGGGTCCCAGCAGCGGGTCAGCTTTGGCGGAGGGGCTGGGAGGCCTCCGCGCCCCCTGGGGGGCAGGGCCAGACTTCACAGCAGCTTCAGGGGCCCAGCCGTCTGCTCTCAACCACTGATGACCTGGAAGGCCCCGCCCGGTGAGCCCCTCCCGGGCCTCCCTCAGCCCTCCTGGCGTGCTCACCGTGGGGATGAACTGAATCTCATAGGCATCCACGGGGCCCGGAGCCCGGGTCCACTCGGTCCGCACCGTCGTCTCCTCCAGGAGATGCATCCTCATGCCCTCAATGGCTGGCACCTCTGCCCACGAGAATGGGACGTAGAAGCTGGTTAGCCACGGTCACCGGCCACCAGCTCAGGGCTGCACTAGAGATCAGTCCCAGTTCACACTCCCCGGGGGTCAGAACAGGCTCTGGGCACAGCATCTCCCCACTAGTAAAAGCAGCCCAGGAGGCCCGGCCTGCTCCTCAGGTATCTGGACGCAGGTCCTGCTGCCGGCATGCACCCTGGCTCCCGCACACAGGACCTTCCTCCACTCCTCCTCCAGCCCCCGGGGCTCCTAGGCCCGGTCCCACCTTCCCGCGGGCCCAGGTCCCCGTCCCCGAGGAGCAGACGGGAGAGGCCGCTCACCTTCCCCGCAGTCCTCCCCTGCAAAGCCCTCCTGGCAGACGCAGCTGCCCTCACGACACTCGCCACGGCCCTGGCAGTCCCCGGGGCACGTCTGGATGGCGCAGTCGGGGCCTCGGAAGCCCTCCACGCACACACACTGGCCGGCGCGGCACAGCTCCCGGGGCCCGCAGCCCCCGGGGCAGGCCGCGGCCGGGGGCTCCTCCCGCCCGCAGTCCGCGCCGCTGTAGCCCGCGTGGCACACGCACGCGCCCTGCACGCAGCGCCCGCGGCCCCGGCAGTCGTCCGGGCAGAGGCGGGTGGCGCAGGAGGGGCCGGTGTAGCCGGAGTCGCACACGCAGCGCCCGTCCTCGCAGCGGCCCCGCCCGTGGCAGTCGGAGGGGCAGGTCCGGAGGCCGCAGTCCTCGCCCGCGAAGCCCTCCCGGCAGGCGCACACGCCGTCCCGGCACACGCCGCGCTGGCTGCAGTCCTGCGGGCACCTCCGCGCGCCGCAGTCCTCGCCCGCGAAGCCGTCGTCGCACACGCAGCGCCCGTCTAGGCACTGCCCGCGGCCTCGGCACCCGCCGGGGCAGCTCCGCGCGCCGCAGTCCTCGCCCTCGAAGCCCGCGTCGCACAAGCACACGCCGTCCTCGCAGCGGCCGCGGCCCCGGCAGTCCCCGGGGCACCGGCGGCTCCCGCAGTCCTCGCCCGTGAAGCCCGGGTCGCACACGCAGCGGCCGTCCGCGCAGCGCCCTCGCCCGCGGCAGTCGCCGGGGCAGGCGCGGGCGCCGCAGTCGCGGCCGGTGTAGCCGGGCCAGCACACGCAGCGGCCGCTCTCGCAGCGGCCCCGGCCGCCGCAGTTCCCGGGGCAGCTCCGCGCGCCGCAGTCCTCGCCGCTGAAGCCCGCGCTGCACACGCACACGCCGTCCTCGCAGCGGCCGCGGCCCCGGCAGTCCCGCGGGCAGGCGCGCGCGCCGCAGTCGGGGCCGGTGTAGCCGGGCCAGCACACGCAGCGGCCGTCCTCGCAGCGGCCCCGCTGGCTGCAGTCGCCCGGGCAGCTGCGCACGCCGCAGTCGTCGCCGCTGTAGCCCGCGTCGCAGATGCACTCGCCGTCCTCGCAGCGCCCGCGGCCCCGGCAGTCGCGCGGGCACGTCCGCGCGCCGCAGTCCTCGCCCGCGTAGCCGGGCCAGCACACGCAGCGGCCGTCCACGCAGCGCCCGCCGTCGCCGCAGTCCCGGGGGCAGGTCCGCGAGCCGCAGTCCTCGCCGGTGTAGCCGGGGTCACAGACGCAGCGGCCGTCCTCGCAGCGCCCCCTCTGGCTGCAGCCTCGCGGGCAGGAGCGCTGGCTGCAGTCGGCGCCGGAGAAGCCCGGCCGGCACACGCACACGCCCCGCACGCAGCGCCCGTGGCCCTGGCAGTCCCCGGGGCAGGAGGGCCAGCCACAGCTGGGGCCCGTGTAGCCGGAGAAGCACACGCAGCGCCCGCGGACACAGCGCCCCTGGTCGTTGCAGTCATCCGGGCAGGACCCGGAAGCGGAGGGAGGGGAGGAAGGGGACACTTGGGAGTCCGTAGGGTCGGAGCAGGTGGGCCCACCCCAGCCAGGCTCGCAGGAGCAGGCGCAGCGGGTCAAGTCAAACACGCCGTGGTGGCTGCAGAGGCTTCGAACGTCCGTCTGGCCTGGAGTAAGAGCGAGAGGAAGGCCTCAGTCTCTCTGGGCAAGAGGCTCAGCCCTACCATGCCCCCGTCTGCGCCCCAGCCTTCCCCTCCAGCAGGGCCAGCTCAATTCACAAGCCCATAGCTTCCAGCTGCTCCTCCTCAATATGGGGGGGAGGGCAGCTGACGGAGAGCCAGGTGGCCCCCTCTCCAACCTGTGCCCTGGGCCGCACTCCCCACCCCAAGTGGCGAGGAAGAGGTGCCTTTTTCTAATTCACGCCCAGGCCTTTATAGGCTGGCGATGCCCACCCACTTCTCCCCCTGCCGTCACCCGCTCACCTGTGCCAGCCTGAGCAGCAGCAGGGCAGCACCCCCCAGTGCACTGCTCCTTGAGCCCCTTCACCAACTCCTCCAGGATCTGTAGCCGGACCCTCAAGGCCTGCACCTCGGAAGCAGGGACTGGGGGCTCAGAGCCTGGGGGACAGCCACAGGCAGCTGAAGGGGGCAGGTTAATGCGGTGGGTGAACACCACCTGCTTTTCCCCTCCTTCTACGGTGTGCTCATAAAGCTGAGAAGAGGGGTTCCCCGCTCTTGGCTCCGCTGTGCGGCCCCCTGGCCGAGGAGGGGGCCGTGGGGCTGGGAGGGTCATGTTGGAGGGGGGAGAGAAAGGGCCTGCTCGGACTGCGCCCCACAGCAGCAGGAGGGCCAGGCTGGAGGCGAGGGAACTTGGGGCCGGCATCATTCAGGAGGCTGCAGGGAGAGAGGGCAAGTGTGAGAGCAGTTTCACAGACAAGATGCCCCCCAACACACACATCAGCCCAGTCCCTCCACCCACCACTCCTCCACCCAACTCACACGTACTAACAATCCGCCTCTAACCAGCCCCAAGGAATTCCCTCCTTGCAGATTGGTTTGGTCTCTAACTCGCTTTCTGATGTCATTTGGTTACCCTGCTCCCCATCGCTTTTCACTGCTACACCCACACTATCCTCTGTTTGTTCCACAGACACCACAAGCTTGCATTAGCCTGAGGGACTTGGCCCTGTCTGTTTCCTGTCGGATGCTCTTCGCTCAGCTCTTAAAGATGAGCTCTTGCTTGTTCAGATCATAACTCCTGTGTCATTGACACCCAGAGGCCTTCCTTGCTGCCCAGTTGGAGCAGCCTTCCATTACTGTCCCCCACAATATCCACTTGTACTCTTCGTGGCATTCACTGCTGCCCGGACCATCTGTTGAGCTCGTGTGGGAGCTCCGTGAGAACTGCACGGCTGTATGCACGCTGTATGCACGCTGTATGCATGGCCATATGCCTGTGCCTGGCACACAGGAACTGTCCAAACCATTTATGTTGAATGGATTAGTAGATGAGCATCTAAGGCCAATCCTCCCCCTAGCACCTGGATCCCAGTTCCTCTTATCTTCTCAGGAAATTTCAGGTGTGGATTGTACTCTCTCTTTTTTTATTCAACTTCTCACTCTCAACTAGATCCTTCCATTGGATTTTACATGAGCTCAAATATATCCTGCTTTTTTAAATATATATTTTATTGATTTCTTATACAGAGGAAGAGAGAGGAATAGAGAATTAGAAACACTGATGAGAGAGAAACATGGACCAGCTGCCTCCTGCACACCCCCACTGGGAATGTGCCCGCAACCAATGTACATGCCCTTGTCTGGAATCAAACCCGGGACCCCTCAGTCCACAGGCTGATGCTCTATCCACTGAGCCAAACCAGTTTCGGCTATATCCTGTTTTTTTAAAAAGCCCTTTTCCTCAGGATTTATAATATCAAGTATCAAAACATCTTACAAAGATGCAAGGATAGACAGAACAGAATAGGGTCCAGAAACAGACCCATACCATATATGGTCACCTGATTAATGGCAAAGGTGTTACTAAAATTAAGAGGGGATAAATGGTCTTTTTGATAAATTGTGCTTGGCCAACTGAAATTCCATATGGAAAACACACCTATCTCTACCTTTTGCCCACATATAAAAGTTAATTTGAAATGAATCTAATGGACCTAATAGAGAAAGGTAAAGCAATAACTTTCAGAACAGTATTTTACAGAAGGAAATATAGGAGAAAATCTTTATGACCTTGGAGTAAGCAAAGATTTCTTAAAAGCTAACAACACAATATTTAACCATAAAATATATCACACGAAACTTAACCAGAGATTAAAAATGGTGGCAGAGTAAGTGGACGCTGCATAGGCATGCTCTCAGGACCAAATTGGAATTACAGAAAAACTTCCTGAATAATTAATTGGAGACTCACTGGAGAGAACCCTGGTATCTGAGGATGGAAAGTGGAGATCGCATAGAGACTAAGAGGAGGGGCAGAGGCAAGAAAGGGCTGGCTGGGCTCCCACAGACAGCAACTAAAGTTCCAGAGAGATATCTCAGCTGTGGGGGTGCCACTGAGAACTCTGGAGTCTAATCCCAAGGGTACCCTCATAACATTTGGCTGAAAAAAGCATCAGGGATGCTGTCTGCCAGGGAGAGACAGCTGGAAATTCAGGCACACTTTTAAAGGACTAATGCACAAAATTCCCTGTGGAGCCATCCACGTTGTGTCCAGCTGGAGCTGTGTGAGCAGAAGCCAGGATTGGGGGCTCTGGGGTTAGAGCCTAGAAGGCAGACACCCTGGTTTCCTGTGCTGAGTCATTCCCTCCTGCTGCAGAGATCATCTTTTTCATTTGCTATACAGATGGCCTTATCTGTGGGAAAGACAGTTGACCCACCCTATTGGAAAACACCTTGCCTCATGGTACAGAGTTTCTAGATGGCCATTAAGAGACTGAGAACAACAATGAACATCCAGGCAGAAGCAATTGCCCCACCTTGTTGGAAAAAACTCTTGCCACACCTGTGGACAATTGTCTGAAGGCAATTCAAAATGGAATTCTATCAGTCTGTAGACAGAGGCAGTTTCTGGAGAGTTTGAGTCTTTGCCTGATCTAATTAGTCAGAAACAGTGTTTGACCCTGTCTTGCACTACAGCTTGAAAGGCGTAGAGATCTACCTAATACAGAATAAAACACCAAAACAGGCAGCCAAAATGAGACACAAAGAAACAACCCAAAATTAAAGAACAAGAGAATTCTCTGAAAGAAGAGACAAGAGAATGAGGATAAGAAATTTATTTGATATAGAATCCAGAATAATGATGGTAAAGATACTCAAAAGCATGAGAAAAGATATAGTAACAATGGGAACACAAAGAATGACATAGCACAAATAAAGAGAACATTGGGAGGAATACACAGCAGATTAGGGGAGGCTAAGGATCAAATCAGTGAATTAGAAGACAGGGTTGAAAAAGTCACTCAATCAGAGAATAGTTTAAGGAGTCACATGGTTTTAATTGACGTTTATAGAACAATTCACTCCCAAAGCTGCAGAATATACATTCTTCTCCAGTGCATATGTGTCAGCCACAAAAATAGATCCCATGTTATAATACAAAACAAGTCTCTACAAGTTCAAGAAGATTGAAATCATATCAAGCATCTTCTCAGATCACAGTGGAATGAAATTAAAAATTAACTACAGTAAAAGCAACCCAAAACACTCAAATACATGGAGGCTAAATAGCATGTTATTAAACAATGAATGGGTTACCAATAAGATTAAGAAAGAAATAAAAACTTACTGGAAACAAATGAAAATGAACACAGAACACCAGAAATCTCTGGGACACAACACAATGTGTCTCTAATACTAAGGAGGCCAAGGACTACTGTAATTTTGTTTATTTATACTTATAAAAAAACACCGAATATGTGTAATTTGGAATGATTATATATCCCTAGGTAGTAAAATTATTTGTGATTGCTTTAGGCAATAAGAACAGTTTAAACTTTTAGAGATAAATTGTGTTTTTGAAACTTTAGAAAAGATAGCTAATGTCAACACAGTCCTGAGTGGGAAGTTCATAGCACTACAGGTCTACCTAAAAAAATAAGAAAAATCAGAGGAGAAACCAAGATGTCAGCATAGATTAACACCTGAAATTGCTGCCTCACACAACCACTTCAAAACTACAACTAAAAGACAAAACAAACATCATCCAGAACCACAGGAAGGCTGGCTGAGTGGAAATTCCACAACTAGAGGGAAAGAGAAAAGCACACTGAGCCTCAGAGGAGGTGCAGAAGTAAAGTGCAGAGGTACAGAGCCGCACGTGTGGAAAGGGCTGGCAACTGAGGACGTGATTGTCTTTTTCAATTGAGAGGGAGACAAAAGCTCCTGACTGCTCTGAACTCCAGTTCCGGGTGATACTCTGGGGACCAAGACTCATACAGGAACTTGACTATCAGGCTTACTCTGGGGACCAAGACTCATACAGGAAGGAACTTGACTATCAGGCTTCCAGTAGAACTCGAGGTGGCTTTCTCTTAGAGGTGCTTGCAGTGATTACCAAGGGACACTGAGACCTGGCGGGCCTCTTAGGGCAGGGCTGAGGATCAGCCATAGCTGTTTGCTCCACCCTGTTGATTCCCTGAGACCCCGCCCTACCCAATCTGTGTGCAGAAGCTTTTGCATATAAATGGCCTGGCACTTTGGAATCTAAAATTACCTAACAAACTGCATCTGGGTCAGAGAGTGCCAGAAGTTCCAAAAGAAGGCTCAAGGCTCCACAGCAGCTTGCATTGCTTCACAACTGGGTCTCATTTGGGCACTTCCAAACCCCAAACAGAAGAGAAACCTCAGATCTATCTGTAGCTCCTGCTGGGTGGCCTCAAGCAGAGGCTAAATTTGCACCTCCTTGAAGACCCAAGAGCCAGTGTACCCAGGGGTCAGAGTGGGACCCTCCAGATTACAACTCCTCAGATCCATAGTGACACTCTCAGGGGACAGACTCAGTGAGCACCAAAGCCTCATTGAAGCAAGTCTTGCCCCATAAGGGTGTCTCTAGCACAGAAGGTCTCCCATCGTAGACACAGCTGATCCTCACAGCCAATTGGCCTGGAGGTCAATTCCTACCAGTGATACCAACAACAATCAAGGCTTAACTACAACAAGACTGTGCACCCAGCCCACAAAGAGGTGCACTGAGTGTCCACCTCATGTAATTGGGGAGGCTGAGCCACTGCGCCCTATAGCACACAAGCCACTCTATCAACTCAGAGAAGCAGTCAAAATGTGGAGACAAAAAAAAAACAAAAAAAAAAACAGGTCACAAATGACAGAAATGGAGGAAAGCAAACTACTGATATAGAGTTCAAAACCATGGTTATAAGGTTTTTCAAGAATCTTCTAGAAACTGCAGATACATTTGGTGAGATCCTCGAGGATATGAAAAAGGACCAACTAGAAATTAAGCATACACTGACTGAAATAAAGAATAATATACAGAAATTCAACAGCAGACTAGAGGATTGCAAAAACCAAGTCAAAAATTTGAAATATGAAGAAGCAAAAAACACCTAACTGGAGAAGAAAAAATAATCCAAAGCCGGAACCTGTTTGGCTCAGTGGATAGAGCGTCAACCTGTGGACTGAAAGGTCCCCGGTTCGATTCCGGTTGAGGGCATGTACCTGGGTTGTGGGCACATCCCTGGTAGGGGATGTGCAAGAGGCAGCTGATCGATGATTCTCTCTCATCGATGTTTCTAACTCTCTATCCCTCTCCTTTCCTCTCTGTAAAAAATCAATAAAATGTATTTTTAAATTAAAAAAATAAAGAATCCAAAAATATGAAGATAATGTAAGGAGCCTCTGGGACAA